GCTTTTAGCTCAAAGCGACTGATAAGATATTGTCCTGCATATCTTTGAGTGGGGCATTAATATTTCAATGCACCAGTGATCTGGTCAAATGGTTTATGTCTGCAGTTCTTCAGCACTTCTCTACCTGTATCGAGCCACTCAGCACTTTTCAACAAGCCACCAGCAAAGTCTGACACCTGCATACAGATGGTGGGTTAGTGTACTGCTCAGAGTCGGCAACAATTAACCATTGTTACTTTAACAGGTCAAAAAGATATTAATGGATTACAACATATTCACATTATTTTTGTTTAGCTATAGAGAACTGAAAAACGTCACTGGAAAAACTGTTGTTTGAAAGTGTGTTAAACTGTATTCAAGACAAGTAAAAATTGTCTTGAATAAATTGTGAGGGCTAAGACGTTACTCACTATGAAAGTTTAACAAAGTCCTCTGTAGTAAAACAAATATGCCCCAGTATTTATACTGAGACTAGAGAGGTCTGCATGTGTACTGAGACAAGAGAGGAGTCTGCATGTATACCGAGACAAGAGAGGTCTGCATGTATACTGAGACAAGAGAGGTCTGCATGTATACTGAGACAAGAGAGGTCTGCATGTATACTGAGACAAGAGAGGTCTGCATGTATACTGAGACAAGAGTGGTGCATGCAGTTTTGCTAAAAGCCTAATTGAGTCAGGTTGTGTCGAAAAGTTCATATTTACTTCACATATAAATGTTCTGACTTAGTTGCCATTTAAAAAAGAGAATGTCTAACGTGAAAAGACCACCGCTGCACCATGAGGTCAGTTTTTATACAAACAGGTTTACGATGATCCCATTCATTAAAAAGTTACGTAACGTGGTTGGAAGAAGATGGTATGACAGAATAGGGCTCCGCTTACAGCCCTTGTCTAACGTGGCTCTGGGACGTCTCCAAAAGCTCCTGCCAGGAAACAAAATGCCAAGACGGTGGTTTTGAAAGCAGCTCAGAGCGAAGGAACAATGAGGAGACACATCTTGAGGGGAGCAATTTACTTCTGCTTCCACTTTGAACAGATTTTGACCTTTTCCAACCTGTGTGGAGGGTGGACTTGGTGTTAGAATAGCGGATACCCGGGTTAAAAGAAAAGAGTGACATAAGTAAAAAGTTTTGATAGTTGCAATGTACAATACAAGTCTTTTTATTACCAAAATGTAAACCAAAAAAAACAAATCAGATCACAACATATGTAGTTCTTGCATACTATTTGATGCTTTGGGCTGAGTGAGTGGGCTCCTCTCTTTTTCTATTTTCTGTTTGAAAAAGCTGATCTGATTTGAGCGGCCAAAACTGCTAGATCAGTTTTGGCCAGATCAAAACAAATGCAAAATAGAGTTTTGTGGCCTTGACGTTTTTTTTTGTCTTCAATTTTAATTATTAACTTGCAAGATTGACCATGGAATGCTATACATTGTTTTAACAGATTTAATTCTAAACATTGAACTCAAATTATGAATTATAGTTTCATCAAAAATATACATATGACCCATCAGTCTGTCATACTTTGCAGACTTGCAGTTACAGTGATTAATGTCCAGACATGGACTGAACTCTGTGAGGGTGGTCCGCAGTTTTTTCCCTTTTCTGTCTGGAAAAGCTGACATGTGACATATGATAGAGACCAAAAAACATGCATGTATATAAGTAAGTAATCTTTATTTATATACCGCCTTTCACAGACGAGAGTCACACTGGTTGACCCTTTTTAAAATCAACCAGTCAAACTTATAAAAATACCGTCACCCAAAGAACTCAGTCCTTTCAGTATCACATATATGTACTGTGTATTTCCTGACGTTTATGAAGGATCTGAATTTGGCTGAGACTCCTGTAACAAGTAACAACAAGAGAAAACTTGATGACATCTGACAGCGTGTAGTCCATAACTTACTGCACAATCTCAGTTCTCCTTCAGACAGTTGCACTTCTGCCAAGAAATCTCAAAAATGCTACAAACAATTTACTTTGCAACTTTTGAAGTAAAAGCGAAGGCCAAGTGGTTTTGGAGGAGTACGAATAAGCTCAAGCACTCACAGAAAACAGCCTGAAAAACATTGGCTCTGAAGGAAAGGCATCAGATTATGTTATAAATTATACGGACATCGCTACTGGATTTTATGATGCTTTTTCAACCCAGAAAGTAAGCCTAGTTCTTTGCCAACATCATGTGGTCTTTTACTATTTTAATGAGTCTCAACAAAGTCTGTTGTTCACATGAACAACAGACTAATAATGATATTTATTAACAAAACATTTGGCTTTTGCTCAACGACTCATTTCTGAATGGAATATGTCTTGATCTTGATTGTCACGCTTTCAGCTAAAGGGAGCAACAACAACAAAAGAATCATTAGGGCTGAAAAACCTGCACTACTATTGACACTGTTTCTTGATTGCCATTTTTTATTGTACATAATATATCCTGCATTTAACATGTTTGCATATTTCTGTCTTTTACACAATCTTGAGTGATTCTACCCATGCCAGATGTGATATGTAATTTTCTCCTGTGTGAGATCAATTAAGTCTATCTTATCATTAAAATATAATTGCAGTTGCGATGCAATTAATGATTATTTCGATACTTGATGGTTGGTCTTTTGATTAATCAATTAATTAATTTGATCCAGAAATATCAGTGAACGTGATATTTTATGTACGTTACCTTACAATTTTCTTGCACTATATGATAGATTTATCTACGGATGCACACATTTTCTTTCTTTTTTAATCTCAAGAGATTTTAGCAATACCTAATATTCACTTCATCTTCTATTCTCATTTCCTACAACTTATGAACCAACACAATTTTCCCACTTTGGAACAAATAAAGACCAAAGAACAATATGGTTCTGTTTAAAACAAGCTATGCCCCATTTTAATTTTATAGAAGATAAATCATTAAAAAAATATTATTATACAAAACTTATATTTTTAGCGATCAATCCTTCTAAAAAATACTGGTGCACACTAGATTGTAAAAATTATTGTGGCTATAATGAAGTGCATCTTGATTTCTTAGGGGAAGGAAAATATTGCAGAAACCCAAACCCTCAAGATGGAGATTTTAGTGCTATACCTAATATTCACCTAATCTTCTATTCTCCTCATTTTCTACGATTCTGTAACTTGTTAACGTAAAGGATCTCTGAATATTTATCCCATTTCTTTCGACTTTGAATTATTACTTTTTTACTCTCCCAACCAAATTGCCAAATTTCCCTCACTGCTCAAGTTTAATCCAGTTCAAACTTTGCAGTGTGAATGTGACCAAAGAACCATATATTATACTAATAAGAGAGACTAGTTCTTGGTGCTAGTATGTGCTAGAGGTGCAACGGTTCATCAATGATCCGTTCGGTTCAACGTCTTCGGTTCGGTACAGACGTGATCCGCGGCTTGATTTACGAAAAAAAAGTTGTGCGCACGTGGTTCAGTCCACACACAGCGCGGTCACGGCGAGCGGAGGAACGGAGGAGCTTGAAAGCCCCGTGTCATTTAATCCCCAGTATGAGAGCATTTTGGCTTCACTGTAACTACACTGATAATTAATATTCGACAAAACTGTCATAGTGTGTAAATACTGTGGCAAAAGAAAGACATGAGGGAAAAAAAGCGTCTCAACGACCGCTTATAAGCAGCTCCTTTACGCACAGTCAGACTGGGCTAAAGTCAACTCTCCAGCCCATCCTCAGCTGCGCTCACAACTGACGCTTGGACGTTGCGCGGAACCTATAATAGATCCATGAGCGGAACAGAGAACTTCATCACCGCAGACTGGGAGATGAAAAGTCTGGCGCTGCAGACACGCCCCCTCTACGACAGTCACACAGCGCAGGTTCTGACACAAGCAGCGGAGGAATGGAAGACAAAGGCCCAGTACTAATATCCCAGTCACAACTGATAATGCCAAAAATTAAATAAATGCAGTGAATGAGGCTGGGCCCAGAATGGAGCGCCTCCTTGGGAGAATCAGGAAGGTGGTTTAATATATGAGGGTAAACACCCTCATAAAGTGCCTTCTTATGTTGCACTTTGTGTTGTTTTTCACTGATTATGTTAAAAAGACATAATTGGATGGATGGAATATGCCTTCCATCCATCCATCCATTTTCTTCCCCTTAATTCATTTCTAGGTCAGGGGGGCGCAGTCAGAGCAGGTGCCAAGTCCACATGAGCCGTGTTTATTAAAAAGACACAACTTATTTTTTGAAAAATGAACCGAACCGCGGCCTCTGAACCGAGGTACCGTGATTTTTTCAAACCGTTGCACCCCTAGTATGTGCTAACCCGCCTTATGTGCTGACGTGGTGATTTATATATAATCATAATTAAAACATGGCTGTCTCATAAAACATGTATTCACATTATCACATGTTGAATTATTTAGGAAGGTGGTGCTTATCCCACCTGTTCCATTAACACCACGTCACACTAAATATTCTCAATTAGTGGCAGAAAGCTTTTTGAATAAGTGATGGGACCTTTGCATTACCACAATAATACAAAGAAGACAGTCTAAATGTATTTCTGGACCACCTCTGCATGTGGCCTGGATCTGCTTTCACATCAGGCTGGAACTGGGACACATAAAATAATTAAACAAAAACAAGGCTTCGGTCAAAACACGGCTCCAAATGGCTTCCAATGAATTTTTAAAATAATCATTAAAAGCTGGTTTGAGCAGAGGGTAAAGAGAGAGGGTGAAAGCAGAGAAACTTTGTAAGAATGGGTATAATAAAACTGGACACTAAATTAGGGGTTGCGTAATACAACAATGGAATCAAATATCGGTGCCAATCCAGGAAAAAGCGTGGCTCGAGAATCGGTTCAATGGTATCGGTCGAAGTCAATTCCTTTATTGGGCTTTGCAATTTATGTAATACCATTGACTGACCCTTTAGACGAAGGGTTTTTTTTCAAAAATGTCATATGAAATTGACACAAGGTGAAGCCCTGAGACTTAAAAAATTGTTACTTACTCTATAGTCGTCTTCTGAGAGAAATGGAATAAAAAGATGTCAGCGAAATGTGGTGAAAGGTTTGTTGGAAGCATAGAACGTGCATAGAAGGACGTTGCTAACCCCTTGGCTATTTGAAGGCTAATGGGAGAGTGCTCCAACTCGCTCTGGCTTCTATTGAGTGATATAGCTCAGTAACAGTTTGTGTGACACTCTCCATTTTGGTCTTAAAAAAATCCATGGTTTTGTGCTCTCTTCGATCCTGGTGTTTATATTGTCTTTGTAAAGCCAGATATGTTCCAACAACTGACCCATCAGGAGCCTTGTCCTGAGTTAGAAAGAATTTACATTGCCTTAATAAAAAGTTGTTCTGTAGCCAATTGGAGAATACATAACAGTTTAAATGAGCAATGAAATCTATTTTCAAATGGGTTTTCTGTGATAAAGGGAGAAAAATGCTGTTTCACTGCAATTGTTTTGTAAAGGCGTCAGGCTGTGCCAAATACCACAAACTCATGGTGTGAAAGGTTTTGGAGAAAGATCTGAGCCAAAGACTGACAACAAAACATGCGTCTTTACCTTTACTCTCCGTTCACCTTTTACTTAATGATGCACAACATAAACGATTCACTGTCTGTGCACAAGTATATATTTATTTTCAATAAGAGGTGATCCGAATCTCAATGGAAATTCCTGGTTAAATAAAAGTTCAAATTAAATAATACTTATTAAAACATGCAATTGAAAAATAAGATAGATCAACCACAAGACATTTTTCCCCCAGACCGGCATCCTGAAGATCAGGTGACTGCAGATATTGAGAGCCACTGTAATGAGATCTGCATCAGACGAGGTGGATTGGCGCATCCTCAACAATGACTGGTTTGAGGGACAACAATGAAGGGTGTGCGACAAAATCTATATTTTTTAGGACCGAGCCCCGAACAAGGCAAGGGCCTATTGTTTTTGCTCGAGAGATGTCAAATTCTGCACTTTGAGCCTTAATTTCACTCCCTGAACATGCATGAAAAGTTGCAAAATTTTGTCCAAACATCAGACCTGGTGAAAAATTTGATATTTTGGTGTTTATTTTTATGGGACTCAAAAAATGCCAGACAAGCGCTACCTACAACAGCCAATGGGAGTTTCAGAGGTCAAGTTTGTCGTAGAGCCATAAAATTCGGTACACATGTTCCTCAAGTCAAGATAAGACCAAAATGTTATCATGGCTCCGCCCTCTGACAAACAGGAGGCCCATAAATTTCACTGCAAAATTGAAAAATGATCCGCAATAATTCTCATACATGTCGGTTGGAAACCTTCTCCTCGGCCGTTTCACCGATTTGCCTCAAAATCGCTCCACATCATCTCAACACATGTACCTTCAAAATGACCAAAGGGATTTTTGATCAGTGAAACGTTTGACCAGCGGAGCGGGTGTTTTTTTGGCCGTTTGACAGCATAAATGTTGCTCCCGTTTGCACAAACAAAGTCTGATTTGCACAAAACTTGAATCCAATGTTCAACTCCCGGGTTTAGGTCAGGTGAAAGTGAAATATTTGAAATTGCCTCAATCTGTAGGGGGCGCTAATGGGCCAAAGTTTTACATGGAGTGTCAAACAGCTCTAATGATCATATTCATTACAATTTGACTAACGTTTTTCTCTGGCTACAGTAACAAATCATCACACGGCGGCCCCACCTCCTTTGCGAGGTGCTGCGTGGTACGGTGTGGTGCGTCGTAGTGCGGGGCATTGTGGAGCGGCGCGTTGCGGCTTGGTGCGGGGCGGCGTGGGGCAGATCCGCTTGGTGCGGGGCGGCGTGGGGCAGATCCGCTTGGTGCGGGGCGGCGTGGTGCGTGCGGGGCGGCGTGGGGCGGGGCGGCTTGGGGCGGGGCGGCTTGGGGCGGGGCGGCTTGGTGTGGGGTGGTGCGCGCGGTGCGGCGAGGGCCGTTCGACGCCGCTTGCAACTTTAATTCTCTTTTGACTTTAATAAGAATTGCTCTTCAATGAATTAAAAATAAATGCACCAAGTGTATAACTTGTTGTTAAAATGTAGCAGGCGGAGCAGTATTTAAGCTCCTGTATCTAGTTATGTATTGTAACAGCAGCTTTAATAAGGACTACTGTAATTTTTTAACTGATTAATTTTATTTTTTATTGTATACATTATTCTATTATGTTTGCACTGTATTTTACATCTTGCCTGGGGACTACAGTAGGAGACTTGCTGTATAGCTAATACAGACTGATTTACAGAAATGTTGATGATTAATGTGTACTGTCCCTATTCAAAAAAACGAATAAAAACAAAAACAGTAGAAATACAATTAGCAGCTTATAGCAGCTGCAGATTTCCCCTGCATGAAAACACCCTAACTTGGACAATAAACATAACTAGTTTATATTTGTTTTCAAGAGAGGGACATTTTCACCACATGCAGGCAATTAATAACATAGGCGGCAATAGCTAAGGCGTGTAAAGCAGACGTTGCATAAACACAAATTCACTTGTAGTGGGTGGGTTCCCCGTCTTATTACATGTGTCTAAAAACTTAAATTAATCATTAAAGGGAGTAGGAGAGGCACATGACAGCGCGTTCCCAGGAGGTCAGCCAGTGCACAGGCGTGAAATTGAAGCAAGAAACGCTGATGGTTTTAAAGGAAATGTCAACTCTCCTTTCACTAATGAGCTATCACTGTGTGTGCCGGGATGTCATAGGACGGAGGTTTTGTTGGAATAGTTTTATGATGATGAAACGTTGCAACATGGACTAAAACACAGTCGAACAGATTTGGGTTTCTCCATCATGTGACCAGCATTTTTCAATCCCACTTTGAATCTAGCACTAAGACAATCCCATGCTTCTGTCCACTTTATACTGATAATCACTGACACCTGTGGCTCATGATTTGCTGTATATTTTATATCTCAATAATTATTTAAAACAAAGCTTAAAATGAAAATTAGACCCCAGTATAGCTCTGCTCTTTTACTTGGTAGGCTTCATTCAACGTTTTGCCTTTTTTCCCCTCCTTCAAACAGAAACACTGCTGAATCATTCACATGAGGGTTAGAGCTGGTATATTTCCAGGTAATAAGTACAAGTAACTTGCAATAAAATACAATTTGATACAATATATTTCTAAAGGATTCAATATGGTTCTGTTAAAAAAGGCCTCTAGCTATGCCCCAATTCTTTACTTTATAGAAAATAATCTCAGCTTCTGTTTTAAATGAGTTTGTCTCTGACTAACAATATAGCAACACATCAAAATACAGTTTTGCTTTATTTTTCAATATTTCTTAAATTCTTTTTATATAAAACTTGTGACCAATCTATCTAAAAATACAGGTGAACACTAGATTGTAAAAAATATTGTTGCCTGATGACAAGTGCATCTTGATTTCTTAGGGGAAGGAAAATATTGCAATATACTGTATAGTTATTGCAGTCCTTGACGTTGATGATGATGATGAAATGTGTAAGAGAAACATAAATTACTCAAACAAGCATGAATAGCTCTTAAGGAAACTGAAATATGAATGATACGCCCCGTTTAAAAGCAGCAAGTAGGATTTTGGAATTTCAAAAAACATTTAAAAAACCCATTCTCTGGGACATGCAAAGCCATGAACTGACCTGTATCTCCTCGTAGGCCTCGTCGATGGTGGTCACCTGGTGTTGCTCGTGCAGTGCTGGTTCGTCGCAGAAGAAACACACCAGGCTTTTGTCCGTGAGGCAGAAGAGCTTGACTTTCTCGTGGTCTTTGCAGGGATACGAGCTCCTCTGGGCGTTGAGAATGGCGTCTAGAGGAAAGGCCGAATACCTCTCCACGATGTTGGACAACTTGAGGCTGGGAGAGAGGAGCGGGTCGGCGAAGGTGCGGCGACACTCGGGACAGTCCCTGGGCGCGTGTGGTTCCTGGCGGCTCCAATGCTCCGTGATGCACTTTCGGCAAAAGTAGTGCTCGCAGCCAAAGCTCACAGGGTCCTGGTAGATGCTCAGGCAAATGGAACAGAGGAGCTCATCCTTCAGACAGCAAGCCATTTGCAAAAACTGACGGCAAGCTGCATCTAAGGCTGCGTGGCTTATTGGACGTGGTTTAGTCTTGTGTGTAGAGGAGGCTCGCTGCCATGTGGGAGTGGAAGGACGAGATGTTCAGGAAATCCTCAAAAGTTTCTGCTGATGACAAATGTGAGCAACTATGTCAGCAATCTATTGTTGCAGAAATGGAAAAGAGCTTCAGTGAAATCATAGGCAAGTATAGACGTCTTTGTTACTCATTAACAAACAGTTGTTCAATAAAAATACATTATCTGCAACTTCAAGGGACTATAACGGGACAATACTCCAAGGTTTAGTAAAAAGGCAAATTTCTGACTTTTTAAGAGATTTTTAATTCCATACATGTAACATTTAATACCAGGGTTGACCATTTACATAAACATAGCCAAAGACAAGTCTTATTGTTATCGAGGTTGTGTTTGACTATAGCAATGACTATAGTAATGAATAGACTCAATATTAATACACATTTTTTGTGGGGATGCGAAATGCTGTTTTGGCTGCATTTTTAACACAAAACAATTGTACTTCTGATTAGTTGCCTTATTGTAATAATAGAAGACTATATTAGTTCAAATATAGATATAAACCTTTGTAAAACAAATGTGGAAAAAAAAGCAATTATCTTCTGCTTTCATAATTTTGTTTGGATTTTAGATTGATATTTGCTGAAATGACAGATAGTAAAACAGTATTGAACGAGATCTCGTATCAATACTAGCTTCTGTTTTTGACAGCTCTATGATACATCACCTTGCATATTTACACATTATTTAACAGAGTTGACAGAGCCTAATAACAATCCAATATTTGCCAAGTGTTCATTCCAAACGAATGTGTTGTTCCAGTGAAAAGGCAGAAGACCTCGTCCTTATATTGAAGTTTACATTTGCAAATGTAGCTTGAATCAAGCTTAAATACAGTTTCAAATTATGTATCTTATCTGGTGAATATAAAGGATTAAACGATCTGAGAGAGAAAAACAGGAAAGGAAAGAAGGAACACCTGCGGCTGCATTATCCCTGCTGCTTTGAGGACAAACACACTTCCCTAACAAATCCCATATGGCAAGAGTTACACCAGAGCACATGCAGGCAACCATTCATTTTCGTATAAAGCATTACCAATATATTAACTATTAAACACTAATTAAATCACTATTAATTGTTGCTTTGTTGTTGGCTGCATTTGTAAACAGACCACCATACGGCACCAGCAGCAGGGGAGACTCGGATGACAAGGAAGCGAATAAAACCGGCTGAAATCCAAAGTTAACAAGGCGACACGTGTAAAGCTATGACTTAGCCGTAGCATTTCAGGTCAACGAGGATATGTATGTAAGATTTTTTGCTTATAATAGTTACAAAATTGAGAAATAGGATGAACTTACTAGTGTTCTCGCAGCGACATCTGCGTGTCTACAGCGCACCGCTCTATCAGGAAGGCAAGCAACAGACCGTACCAAGTTACGGACTTCAGATGGGGGTGATCATCAGGGGTTTTATAACTTCTCTTCATAGATTATCGATATTATTAATTGTATTTAATGCAACATCAACATGGAAAAACAAATGTTGATATTAGTTACATTTATTACGATGAATAATCACAATTAGATGATATTTTGATAATGACACTCCCCTCCCGTCTGAAAGGTTAAGTGGTATCGGCTTTCTTTCGTTCTCCTTAGCATCCTGAGCTAATGCTAGTTTCTTCAACTTTCATTAGAAAAAAAAAATATTATTAAAATGAAGTCAGCGATTTTTAGCAAAAATATGTGAATAATTTCTGAGTTCAGTTTTATGGCATTTCAGTAGACTGACAGATAGCAGAGTGAAATTATACGGGTGGCTTCGCCATTACAATGTCACGCCAATGGGTGGCGGTATTGTACAGGAGAAAGAAAATGGGATATAGCAAAGTGCCTACAAAATGTTATCCAGATTAGAACCATGGATCTATGATTAGAACTCATGGATCTACTATAATAACTGGATAGGGTATTACTAGCTTGAAGCTGAACTCATGGTGAGAACACAGTAACTATAAGTGTGATTAGTAAAAGCTACTAATTTGTAAATTCAACGCTAAATATCACACACAGAAAACTTTCTTTACATTTTGTTTTAAATAGCAGCCATAACAAAAAACATGAAAACCTTTCCAGTGTTTCATACTATTGTACAGTTATTTAGTCATTTTTCTTATATTGAGAACTTTGCTGTTTACCTGTAAGTTAAAATGGAAGAGTAATACATCACTCTTAAGCACTATCCATGCTATTTTCTTTAAAAAAAAAAAAAGAAAGAAAAAAAAAGAATGTACAGACACATGTTTATTATATTACAATTATTTACAATCATATCCGTGCAAATAAACAGAATTATTTCTTGATACTTGTGTAAAGAGACAAACCCCCCCACATACAGTTTTGTTTACTCATTACAAACAAATGTGTAATAGGTACTGCTGATGTGACATTACAACATTCTAAAGTGCCTATAGTTGTGAAGTACATTGTGGAGGAGGAAATTCAGACTTCAAAGAATTCTAGAACATGAACACAGCCCATTCATCCTGAAAGTCATTTGAGAACAGCTTTGTGTGAGTAAAAGTCGTACTCTGACATTCTGGGTTAATGACAGCCAGCAGATTTATATCAATAGAAAGGCCCAATCTAGCCTGGTCATACCACACCATAGTACAAGTTACATGCAGGGAAATGATAAATGACTGGAGTGTACGGATGGCTAAGGCCAGGCTAGGCCCAATCAGGATATTTGCTCTACCAATATCACAGAACTGACACCCGATGCAACACATATTCCTGGATTGACATTTGGCAAAGATAATCAATACCAGTATGAAATGCATCCCTATAGGTATTTTATGCCTTGAGCTCAAAGTACCTCCAGTCCCTCCTCTGTACACATCTCACAGTTAGGAAGGTTAATTACTTCTTTGTAGAAATGAGGGTATTTAAAGTTAGCAAATACCAAGGTAATAACATCCATAACTTACTATTGTAAGTTATGGATGTGGTATGTATGGTATATATGATGTATATGATATATAATATATAATTAGGTTTGCTTGGATCGGTTTGCACACCTGGTGTGCATCCATGAATCTCTTTATTCAAGGCTAGGTTTAAAACAGTCCTCTTTAGTTTAGCATATGGCTAGGAAGGTAAGACTCTGGGAAGGCTAAACTCCTCAGAGTGTCAGTCAAGCTGCATAGGGAGTCAGTTTCCTGGGAGAAGTATGGTAACTTGAGCACTATCCTCTCCTCCTTCCTACTTTATCTACTTTATCTGTTTAGCACTTTTAGGATTCTGACTGTAGTTTGTTCATTGCTATTCACCCGTTGTCCCATTGTCTGTTTCATGGTACGATGACGGGATCTCTGAGCCTGGCCTCCTCCATCTGCACCTGCGGACTGCCCCGCCCGACCCGCCTGGGAGTGCTTCGGTCCTGCACCGGACCTGTCCACGTTCAGCGTCCACTGGTCCACGTTCTGTAGCTAGCTTAGGTCCTAGATCATTAGCCTGTCCGTCCGGAGGAGCGGATCCCTTTCTCATATGGGTCTCCCTCCCTGTGGGTTTCCCTAGTGCTCCCCAAGGTTTCTCACTTTTTCCCACTGGGTTTTTTAAGAGTTTTTCCTTGTCGATGCAGGAGGGTCTTGTTGGACAGTTAGTGTCCAACAGAAAGGATTGGTGATGATCAGGACACTTTAGCATTCTACAACATGTATGGACATTTTCTTCTGTGTGTGCTTTATATTCTCCATGTGTTTTGGCTGTTGATTCTCTGACCTATGTTGGTGATTTCAATGGTTTTGTTAAGTCCTCTGAGATGACTTCTGTTGTGACCTAGGGCTATACAAGAATAAATTGTATTGTATTGTATTGTATTGTCTGGTATAGAAGAACCAAATACCTTTACAAACCATCTCAATTTTATCGATTAAAACTTCCACTTTCTTCCACAGACAGCAGTGAGGGCTTGCCATCTTCCTGCTGCAGATAACTACAGCAGCTCTCCTCCTCCTCTCCAAAGGGGATCGCAGACTCGGCTGGTCCAATGTCTCTGAGCGTCACAGCTGGAGTCCCACACGTCCCATTCCCTATATGTAAGTTAATGTTAACGTTGACCAGAGGACTAGGGGCTGTGCTTTGTGGACTTGTGGGCTGTGAAAAAGACTGCAAGCTTGAACTAGCTACTGAAAAATCTGTGTTGGACTGGAGAGAAAAAGGCTCGGAGAATGCAGAGTGCGGCTGAGGTAATGTTGAATGAAGGTGCTCTGTAGAGTTGCTCATGGACTGCTTTAGGTTTGTATCCATGTTCTGGAGAAGACCCTGTTGTTCTGGCTGCACAGCGTTGAAGGAGAAGTGTCCTGTGTCTCCCAGGTAAGAGTGGTTTGTCTGCTTAAAAAAACAAAAAAACAAGTTTGGTAATGTTTGTTTGGTCAGCATGCCAATATAACACCTTTTAATGCACACCTTGCTGCCACAGATTATAGACTTTAAATAAGAGTTTCAATTTCTCCAATTACCCTTATAATTCAGCATTCGTTTTATTGACATTGTAAGTAAAAGAAAGTCACTAACAAGGATTCTTCTATGGTTCATGATGCAAACATGTTATAAAACTCTCCCCGAGGTTTCTCACTTTTTTCCCACTGGGTTTTAGAGTTTATCCTTGCCGATGCAGGAGGGTCTGTTAGGTAATGGTAAAAGGTGCACTTTATTGATCCCGTAAGACAATTCATCCTCTGCATATGACCCATCCTGATGCCGCTAAGGCTTAAATCAGATTCAGATTCATTTATTTGCCATTTGCAGTAAAACCACATTGGAAAAACTGTGCAAGACTACCCCGGTGTGCACCAGACAGAGAAGACGACACACACCAGAGTTCTTGCCACGGCGCCATCTTTACGGCGCCATGCGACAAACAGTAGAATAAACAGCAGAGAGCAATAACATACAGTTTCACAGACAGTTGGATAGACACATTGTGCTTTGTATAAAGCACGGATTTTTTTCTCGGGATGAGCACCTCCGACAGCCGGCCAATGTGGCTGTCAGAGGGGGGCGGGGTCAGGGAGGGGGTGAGTCGGAAACACAGTGAGGAGTGGAGGGGAGGGAGGGAGCAAGATGGATAGGTAGAGGGAGGCGGGGGTAGGGGATCCAAGCTGGAGACTGAATAGTGTGAATTGTTGTAGATTGGGACCTTTGTTATTATGGCCTTGGCCGAAGGAATGTGAGATAAGAGTGGAGAGAAGGCACAGGAGGAGAAAACACATCGCCTCAGGGGGACAATATTAAATGCAATGTAGCAGTCAAAAGCAGGTAGATATTCTATTAAATCCAATTAATCCGAATTGCGGCGCCCTCAGACCCCGTACACAGGGGCAAATCCAAGCCGGGTCAGAGAGATCAAGCCTGGAAAACGATGTCATTCAATCTCAACTCCAGAGTTTTATTCCCTTCGAGTGAACGAGCTGCGAGATCTTTTATCAACTGTTCCACCAAAACCACTCTCCTTTGTCCAGACACGGCGCTCTCAACCACGACGCGGCTAAGCTCCTTGTACATCCCATCAATTTTGTCGGCCAGCAGGTCGTGAATCTTGCGAAGTGCCATGCCTCCGAATTTGTGGTAGAAGAGAACTGCTCCAAACCCAAACAGGAGGATTCCCACCACCAAAATGCCAAAGATATATACATCTGATCAGTGCAGTGCGGAGCAGTGATCGCTGTAGTAACAGGGCCCGGGAACCCATCTCCAGATGTTGATGCTCGGCTTGGTCAGGACTACTAGAGCTGGAGGATTTAACCTAGTGAGCATGTTTTTAGTGGTAGGGGAAACCGGAGTACCCGGAGGAAACCTACGCAAGCACGGGGAGAACATGTAAACTCCTCTCAGAAAGACCCCGTTCTGACCGGGATTAGAACCCAGGACTTTCTTGCTGAGAGACGAGAGTGCTATTCACTCAACCACCGCGCTGCCCTAGACAGTTGGAGGGTCTAACTCAAAGGAATGTGGTGATGATCCAGAACACTCTACATTCTACAACATTTATGGACATTGGTCAACCCCCGACTGTGGACCAATACCTATGTGTTTGAATCTATGATCTGTGTTGGCAAATTCAATGGTTTTGTTAAGTCCTCTGTGATAACTACTGTTGTGATTTAGGGTTATACAAAAATAAATTTAATTGAATTTAAATTGAAAAGTGAACAATCGATATAGGCATGAATTAAAAACAAATCTTAATCAAACTTTATACTAAGTACACACAATAGACATCAGTGCAGGTTAAATTGACCCTCTGTGGAGTGGCGCCCTCTTGTGTGTCATTATAAACACTCTCTATTGAATGACATTTATAATCCTACATCAGGGGTGTCAAACTGGTTCCAGGTAGGGCAGGTGTGGCTTCAGGTTTTATTCCAGCACACCCGACTCCACCCATTTCCTCAAGTCTCCAGGTTAAGACTGGATTCACTTGAGGAAATGGATGGAGTCTGGCGTGCTCCTGCCTGGTTGGAATGAAAACCTGCTGCTACACCAGCACTTTGGGGACCGGTTTGACACCCGTGTCCTATATCCTCATAACATTCACATGCCTGGCAATCATTAAAAAAGAGTTGGGATAAATGTCGCAGTTTATCCAATTACTTTGATAACATGTTGGGAGCAGATTTTATAGTGCAGGGGTGCTCACACTTTTTCAGCATGCGAGCTACTTATAAAAGGATCAAGTCAAAATGATCTACCTACTACAAAAATGCAAATCATATATTTATTTCAAAAAATATTCTTTATACCTACAATGTATGTTTATGTACATGCAAAACCGCATGAGCCAATATAGCACAACACAACACAATTACCTATGTACATTTTTTGTCATTACCCGAGTTTACTCTGATGACTTGCACTGAATTGAATCGGCCAGGGATGCATAGTCCGGAAAATTGGTGGTAACTCGCTGACAAGTTTGTCGTTGTTTAGCTTTCCTGCACTGAGCGCGGTTGTTTGCGCATGTGCAGTCACCTAAGTGTCAGTAAAACATTACTGAGTAAAACATTACTGAGTAAAACACAGATGTCATTTGACTGTGGTGCCATGTCCATGTGCCATGCCTGTTTTTTTTAAATCCAAATATTTCCCCTCCTCAGTTTATAAAATAATTTGCATCCACACATCTGTGTTATCAATCACATTCGTAACATTCCAAACATGTGCGTCTCTTACGTCCTGTCCTGCGTTGGGGAAAAACACGAAGTGGGCGGAGCTTTGATGCAGACGCCGGTAACGGCACTTTTACAGTCATAGAAGACACTCAGAGTAAAGACGTATGTTTACAAGCACTGACCCCGTCCTCAGCCCTGGTTTAGTCCTGGTTTAGTCCTGGTTTAGTCCTGGTTTAGTCCTGGTTTAGTCCTGGTTTGGTTGTTTTCGAGCGTGAGTCCCCGCGATCACTTTGCTGCTCTCTGATGTGGAGCGCTGCTGCGAGCATCTCACAGCGAACAGTTTTTAAGGTAGTATGATCCATGCTTCAGTGATCAGAGGAATTTAGGGGGGTACTGTGGCGTGCGAGAACGCAAAACTCCGGTTATCTCTGTCTACACACAAATGCATTAACGGAGTTTTCAAAAATCTCCACTTTGCCCGGAGTTTTTTGCATATATTTGTTTAGAATGTGTATTTTTTTATTTATTTAATGCGATCTACAAATACTACCTTTGCGATCGACTGGTAGATCGCGATCGACGTATTGAGCACCCCTGTTATAGTGTCTATTGTTAAGCTCAGGATCAAACCTCTCTGTGTATTCTCATAGTCCCAGTCATATTTTCTGTCTCTTGTAAGAAAGTCTTTCTGTCCCTGGTCCTTATAAGTTCATTTAACTTTCGGTGTGTGGAATTATTACCTCTTGTCGTTTTATGATTAGCACGGGGTTTGCAAATCCCCAAAAAGCGACCTATTGCTTGACACTTGATGCGACATACTGTACAAGATGGCGGCATCGGGGTTATATTTGACTGGAAACCCATGTCTATAGAAATGCTTGTATTGCATATATATATATATATATATATATATATATATATATATACAAAATTATGGAGAGCTCTATGAAGGCTTATAGGGACGTGCTCGTGGTCATAGTTTTGCTCATACTTTCTTTTTGGCTCTTATAGACTTACATTGAAAAGTAAACTCCTCTGTAACCGTTTGTCACACTCACCATTTTGGGCTTTAAACTTTGATCTTGGGGTTTATATTTTGTCTCTCTAAATCAGGATATATCCTGTAACAACTGACCAATCAGCAGTCTTCTGTCCCCAAAATACGGCTGATTGAAATTAAGCTAACACGAGTTGTGTTAACAGACCAGGCCTTTTGGTTTTTAGGTTGTTGCTATCCCCAAATGTTTGTAACTGATAAAGATACAATAATGCAAAATTATGATAAATATTGTTTTAATTGCCACCAAGAGCAACAGCAGAGTTTAAGTGATATTTTAAACCCTTTTACAGCTAACATGACAAAGCAAATGGCAGAAAATCTCTGCCAATCGGTAATATAAAAAGTGTAGAGAACTGAAACAAACTCTTATCACCAAATCTCTGAACTACACTTTTCCCAAACTCCTTTTATCAAGAAAGTAAAACTGTTAGCTTGTAGAATAATGTCAATCATTACTCTATTGTTTTTGTTTCCACATTTTTGTTTGAAATCCTCCAAAAGAGAATTCACAAGTGCTGTCTGATTGGGACGCGCTGTTCAGTGGACCTCATTATTCATCACACATTAGTTATTTCAGAAAATGTTGCGTCAAACAAGATAGGAATTAAATATATAAATAATAACTGTGGTGCTAATGTTGTATGATAGCATCAGTTCTACTTACATCAGTGTCAGTCTCACAGTTTCCGTTTGCATCAACTTTGGGGAAAATTTCAGCATTGCCTTAAAACAATGAGGAAAATTGTTACTTTTTATTAATTTCTTGATCAAAATCTGATGTTTTTTTGTTACCTTTCTTGGATTTGCGTTTACACAGCACCAGTAGAACGAGCAGGATGAGAAGCAGAAAGACGCCTGCGACTCCTCCGACCACAGCAGCTGGATGGAAACACACAACGCAATGAAATTATTATTATTTTTTATTTTTTATACAAACTAAATTATATTGTATTTTTTTTTGTTTTTCTGGTTCTGAATATATCATCTCACTAAACCAACTCAATGAATTTACTGTTTGGCATCTTTCTAGGTATTTCGTTTGGTGGGTACTTGCTCTTGACAGTCTATTGTGTGTTTTATTCATGCATGTCTTTGATTTTATTCTGCTTTAACTTGTTTGCACCGAGAGTCAAAGCAAGTTCCTAGTTTTTGACTTTATGAGATTTCATAACACTTTGAAGCAACTTTTGTTAAAGTTAAACTCATCATTCTATCAATGTGCAGAAGCCTGTACTTTTCCACTTCATGTTTTGACTATCTCTGCTGGCACCGTGGAAGCTGCTGATTGGAGGTCTCCATGCCTCCGCTCTGTATAATACACTTGCATTCTATTGTATCTGTGTTCGTGCTCGTGCTGTCTCTACCATCGACAATAAAACATGTCTTCTGTCTGAATTAAAGACGCGATCCCAGACTATGTCATCTTCTTCAACTTCTTGTTACTCACATGGCAGTAAAAAGATTCTGATTCTGATTCAAAATCATTCGTTACAGTTACGTTTTTACATTTACCATGTTCTCAACATTTGTTATCCATTATTTTCTTCTGGCTCTCTGCGGCTGGTTCTAATATTAATCAAATATCATCGCGGGGCCAAGATAATTCATCCGGTCCGCAGGCCTTTGACTTTGACACCCATGTCCCATAATCACATACCCAGTTGCTTTTCTGGTTCAGAATCCAGTTGGCTTTTGGTTTGTACAGATGATGGAAAGATCCACACATGGGCAGGAGTGGAGGAGCTTGAGTCGTGCATGATGGGAAATGAGCGAACTCGTGTTGTTTTGTAACTCTTTGCCGCGAGAACAGACTTTCCAGTTTTGTGGTTGAGAATTTGTGGTTCGGTCGTGAGCCTCGCGTCGGCAGCTCTGCACACCGTGTCTGCGGTGGCGTTGCCTTTGCTGATCACGTGTGTTTCATCGCAGCTGGAGAAGAACACAGAAACAGAATGTCAGATTAACCTCCTGACACAGAAACAGAAAGGAGGCTTAAGATGCTTACGGCGAGTGCGGTTTGCACGTTTCAGTGCTGGAGACGGAAGCAGAGAAAGTCCCATCTTCACACCTTTGACACTGGACGTCGGATGAAGCCGTACCTGGAAAAGCGACTATCAAATTCACAAAGATGCCAAAGCAGAACATTGCACAGTGGGGAAATGTCAATGGTGCAATGTTGTCAATGTAAGAGCACACAGAAAGCACACAAAATATACAATATAAGTAGTTGCTATGTTTTTTGGCCAGCAATACATCGGAAATACAGTTTGAAAGATGACAAGGTTTCCGAATTGGTATTGAACAATAAAAGCCATCCTGTTTTGAGGTTGTGCCATGGCCGACAGCAAGACGAAAGAATGTGCAAAGACTATCCAGCAAAAACTGAGAACCAGGATGTCTGCCCCAACAGGGTCTTGTGTAAAAGTACAATATTGGGAATAAATCAGACAACAACATTATTTCTTTATCTTAATAGAAACATGTTATTTTTTGCTATAAAACTTCTTTGAGAGTAATGTAAATGTGCACTGTCTTTATCCCTGTAGGGAACTTTGTCCTTTGGAATGCCACGTGGGCCTCTGTGAGAAGCACTGGTTTGATCAGTTACATTTTGTTGTTTGCGAAGGAAGTACCGCACTTCAAATCAGATTTACCAATGACGCAACAATCGTTTACACTTGACCTGATTGAAGTAAACGCTGGTTTTCTTCAGGGAAATGTGAAAGTACCAAAGGAGTGAACACCCGTACTAGTTTTTAAACCAGTTTTAAAAAGTGGCCAAACTAATTTTGTTATGGATCTACTTAATTCATTCATAATTGACTTGGGATTGGCTTCACTCGAGCGGCTAATTATTGTTCATTTTCAGGAGATGGAAAAGCACATATTACATAGTACATATTACTTTTGAATGCGCTGGAAAACGGCTGCAAGTCCTAAGTAGCTCTGAAACAGTTGTTGTGCTTTTGAATTTTTATTTGTTACTGCTTTTTTCTACCTGAGATGTTTCTGCAGTACAGTGTTCATGGTTTTACACTGGTCCAGACGAGAGCAGAGAGGATTCATGGTCCTAACCAAGAGGATCAGGTGAAAATCCTGTAGAGGCATGCTAACTTTTTGAATAATGCTAATGAAGCATTTAGCATTTTACTTTGGACTAGAGCAGAGAAAATGGTCCGAACCAAGCAGCTACTCCACCTTTTGACCTGTCCTGCTCCACCCAGAGGCTACTCCACCTCTGCTGCTGTGACCTGAAGGGCTGTTGCTGATATTACTATTTTTTTACTTTTTAGAATGATACATTTTATTATTTTATTATTTATTATTGTATTATTTTTGCTGCTACTGGACACCTGCATTTCTCCAACAGGGATCAATAGAGTATCTATCTGTCTATCTATCTATCTATTAGGAATGCACCGATTGTGACATTTTGGGCCGATAAAATATTTAACATAACAACTTGGCCGATGGCTGATGTTTTTTCTTTTTGTTATTTATATTCATAAATTTCTTACAATATATTTCAACTTAATTTTCCTGTTTTTCTTCAGCTTCATGCAATTGTTGTACACCGCCTCATGCTTCTCAAATGTCCAATGAGATTCGTTGATAGTCCAGCAGTCCCCCCTCTTGAAATCTCACTGGAACACAGGAAAGTTTGCAGACGCCCTCAACCAGTAACTATTTGCACTCGCCTACCATTTGCCGATGGTACAATAATTAATAGCTCTACATAAACAAAGTGTAATTTTAAAGATGAATCTAATATTTGATTCATTTATGGAGAAAACACATTCACTGTTTAAAAGCTGATGGGCTCACCTTGTACAGAGACCCCGAACCCCTGTCTGCATTTGGTGAAGAGGCCACATTCCTGACAGTATCCGTCCTTATATCCCATGAAACAGTATCTGTGCGGCTGACAGACACACTTGGCCTTTGTGGTGGAGGAGCAGTTCTGCGCGTACCGCAGCCCCTTCGCTGAGATTAAATAAGAAAAGGGATTTATATTATAATGACACACATAAGGCTCATTTATTATTAGTAGTCCTACAGTGATGGACAATGTATGGCTTCAGGAAAAAAACATTGTGATAAATGATTACAATTATAATTTTGTAAGATTTGTGAAATATTGCTCCATTTTAAGGCCTGTAGGGAGAAAATAATGTTGAATTAAGTCATATTTAGGCAGAAAAGTGGCTCATTCAACCTGCTTCAACTTGTTTCCTACATGTATAACAGGGATAATGGCAAAAATCTAGAATAAAATGTGCATTGATTAATATTGATTAGTGATTATTATCCTAGATTTTTGCTATTTTCTTTGTTATGTATTGTCTGTAAAAACATTCTGCAGTAATTTCAATATTATTCTCACAACTCAATGCGAAAGAAGCCATTTTTGAAAGAAATTTTGAAAAAAGTCAGAGCATTTTCCCAGATCATTATTTGATAAAAATTGTCAAAATGTCATTGTGTCCAATTAGGCAAGACACTTCACCCACATTGCCAAGTACGTGTCTGGTGTGTGTGTGAATGGTTGGTGGTGATGGGAAGGGCAGATGGCACATACTGGTTGTGTCGCTTCTGTCACTCTGTCCCAGGGCAGCTGTGGTAGTAGTAGTTTTGAGTGTGGCACTATATTCAGGGCACTATATACTGTAAATGCGCTATATAAATGCATACTTCTCGCTTTATGATTTCTGAAAGCCCTTTGCCCTGGCCAACATCATGCATACTCTTTATGAGTATTGTCAGACCATAGTTGATATGCGCTGACTGAGAGAATGTGGAACTTTGTGACTGTTTTTGGATTGGCCTCAAGAATACATAGAAATGAGGTCTAAACTAAAATGAGACATCTGCCTTTCACCACAATGGTGTCTTCAGAATGTTCAGTCTTAATTTGCTAATTTTCTCATTTGAATACTTTCACTGATAAAGACGAAATGCAAGGTTTTACTGGGGTTATCCTTCTGTACTGAAAGCGAACCAGTGGCTCAAAGTTGTATCCATGTTACTGTTTATCGTGGTTTCTCTCTGTATCAACAAATCTTGCGTAATGGAGACTGATTCTTACATTCTTTGCACTTGACGCAGGAGCCACAGTTGGATGCGTAGTTCCACCTCTCTGCGAACTGCTGGGCCCCACACGGCTCACACACACTGTCCTGAGCCTCGGTGCATTCTTGCTTCAGCTTTTGTCCTGTAATGATCCAGAGGGAATACTGTGGTTAGGGTTAAAACGTGTATTGTATTCATTTTAAGAGATCCTTCATTCGTCCCACAGTGCGGAAATGTCATTGTTGCATCACAAGTTATAGAACAGTAGGAATGCACAAGATATTAAGTATAGCACAACGCCATGCAAATAAAACAAAATATACTCTCTATCTTTAGCTTCTAGTGCAAGAAATGTATATGTGTAGTTATAAATCTGTAGATACATCTGTAATTCACTCTAGTGCAAGACTACTGAGTCATTAGCTCTTCCAATATTCACAGTGATGAATCTATTGTACATGTTGGCTACATGAGGTTCTAAAAGTGACAGTGGACACATGTTGTTTCATATTGCACATTCTAACAATATTTCAAATTATTGCACAGATGCATAATCAGGTCGGCAGAGTTCACAAGCCCCAGTGATCCAAGATGGCACCCTATTCAAATGAATGTTGCGCATTGGACATACAGGAGGACCAACAGATTGGCAGAATTATATTTGGGCAACGTCTGGTCCTCCCGGTTCTATGCGGTGGACAAGCTCCCATGATGCGTTGCGCCAAATACGCATGTGTGGCTCTCATGCACGTGCACAGAGGGGCTCGGCCACACTTTGACCAATCAGAGCTGCTGATCAGAGCAGTGTTAGAGCGGAGTCAGAGCGGGAAGGAAAACAGCAGAGTTTGTGGCAGTGAAGTGTGGATTTAAAGAAAACCAAAGTATTTAAGCAGAAAAAAAGTTCAGGATGACAAGGGACACTAAAATCCCCACTAAATCTGACCTTTCTGAAAGCTGTAGGTTCTCTGTCAGCTGAGGTCGAGCTGGTTTAGTTTACATTGAGTTTCTATGGGACTTTTTCTGGGTAGCCCTTGTGAATGTAGTCTGCAGTAACACGGGCGCCCCCTGTGCCCAGGGTACTGCAGTATAACTAGCTTATAGGTGTGACAGCTGTAAGCTAGTTATACCCTATCCAGTTATCATTATAGATCCATGGGTGTACATTAGTCTTCACTGTTTGTTGTATTGTTTGACAGCAGCAGGAATTAAGGAGAAACTTGCCGAACCTCTTCTTCACACTGCAAGGGTGGGTTAGTCAGTCACTGATGCTGGTCTCCAGAGCAGACAGAGTGTCAAGCAGGGGAGACAGGCATGGTGCAGCATAGATGTTAGTTTTTTCCAGGAACCCCCCGTCCCCCACCTGCTGCACTGTACCAATCTGTACAAGAGGCTGATGCCACCAGAGTCAGAGAAGGTCTTCAGGAGGGGCCCCTACACTCCAAAAGAGACCAAATTTAACAGCTTTATTAAAAGCAGTTTTTTTTCTTAATATTAAACATGAGAATTTGCTTGTATACTCTTTATAGTTACATTTGAGTTTAAAGTATAATAAAATACATCTAACTCGCTCTAAAACAGTTTGGTTCCATCTTTAGTTTTCACATGCATGTTGGCCTCTGTCATGACTTTAGATCAGCTTGATGTGAGCAATGATGCGCTGATTCCACCCAGCAAAGACCAACGGCTCCTAAGTATGGCTAAAGATGAGATATTGGGAGAGATACGCAATTTGAAAACCGAGTTCACCGGAAGATTTGATGGTGTGCTTAAAGCTATAGAAGAAACAAGAAAGGAGGTGACTCAATGTACAGAGCGGATGGCTGAGGCAGAGGTGCGTCTGTCTAACGTGGAAGACGAGCAGGTCGACTTGAAAGCAGTGGTCGAAAGCTTACAGACAAGAAATAAACACCTTGAGGACAAAGTGGTTGATATGGAAACAAGATTGCGTTTGAATAATCTGAGGCTGGTGGGTCTCCCTGAAAATTCTGAGGACTCTGACATGTGCGGTTTTTTGGAGAGCTGGTTGCCAGACGCGCTGGAGCTAAACCCAATGCGTCACCCTTTAATCCTGGAGAGGGCTCACCGCATTGGGGCAAAGAGAGTCACCGATACCTCACCTAGAACGGTAATCATGAGATTTCTTAACTACAAGCAGAAAGAAATCGTACTAAGAGCTGCCAAAACAAAGAAGGATATCTTCTATAAGAACCAGCGTGTGAAGTTGTTTGCTGATGTCGCTACGGAGGTTCACAGGCAGCGTAAGCAGTTTGATGTTGTTCGCGACCAGCTGCGTAAACTTGGAGTGCGACATGGCATTCTTTCCCCATCCACGTTGGTGCTGACATACAAGGAGAAAGTCCACAAGTTCACTTCCCCAGCGGAGGCCAAGATCTTTGTCAAGAAGATCCAAATGGAAACGGGAGAAACAGAATGACTTGTGTTTATAGGTACTGACACTGCCAACCACATATTGTAGGTATTTTGAAGTTGCAAATGCAAGTACTGTTAAAAAAGGATACATTATTTGAATACAGTTGCAGGTGAATATTGAGACGACAGTTTAGATTCTAGGAATCAAACGTTGTTCGCGGTCGGAAGTAGTCTATTTCAGGGGTTTACCCAGTTAGCTGGGATGGGTTTTTTTGTTTTTGTGATGTTGGTGCTGCTCGCAGCATTTTGTTCTAATGTTCTAGTGTGTGTTAACTCTCAGACACATTTACACAGTGGAAAAATAAGACTTGTATGTTTTTGTTTAGATGACACAAAAATTTGAAATTAAATATACTTCCTGGAATTGCAGGGGCTTGGGTAAATCTAAAAAGATCAAGCAGGTTATGAACAAAATAAAAGATCTAGGCTCTAAAATTGTTTTCCTGCAGGAAACCCACACTCTTGAGGAGGAAAATATCAGAATAAGCAGGAGGTGGCAGGGATCACTGTATGCATCATCATTTACATCAAGAGCTCGAGGTGTAATTACACTGATTCATAAATCGGTGCCTTTGCATGTTACAAATGTTATAAAAGATAAATTCGGAAGATACTTGATTATCCAGGGATCAATTTTACATGAAAATTTCAACTTAGTGAATGTATATGGACCAAATATAGATGATGATCGATTCTTTACAAATTTATTTCTAACCATTTCTTCTCTCTCAGGTAAAGTTATTATTTGTGGAGATTGGAACTGCGTTTTGAATCCAATCCTAGACCGATCCACTGGAATTGACCAGACTCATCATAAAAGCAGAGAAATCATCCAGAATTTTATGAAGGAGTTACAGATGGTAGATATTTGGCGACATCAAAATCCTATCGATATTACATACTCTTGTCACTCTAAAACATTTAACACATACTGTACTCCCGCATAGATTACTTTCTGATTTCGGCAGACTTGTTGCCTAATATGGGAGATTGTTCCTATGATAGTATAACAATTTCAGACCATGCTTCATGTAACATAAAATATACTCATAAAGATTTATTGATAGACCCTCCTAGGTGGTGCTTACATCAAAAATGGCTCAAGGATGAAGCTTTCGTAGGATATGTAGGGAATAAAATTGATGAATATTTTTGTTTAAACACAACACAAACCACAGCTCGTGTCAAATGGGATGCATTTAAGGCTTGCACAAGGGGTTATATCATTTCTTATACCTCTTCAAAATCTAAAGAACAGCGCAAGAAAAGACAACAGTTGGAAGAAAAAATAAAGAATTTGGAGAAACAATTGTTTAGAGATAAAAATGTAAATGTAGAAAAAGAGCTGTTGCTGTTAAAAGCACAATACAATAAAGCTACTGCGGACAGGGCAGCCTCTAACATACTTAGGTTAAATCAATCTTTTTATGAACAGGGAGAAAAGCCCGGTAAGATTTTAGCATGGCAAATAAAGCAACTGGAAGCACAAAAAGACATAACAACAATAATAAATACAAAAGGGGAGACAATTGTGGATCCAATAGAGATAAACAAAGAATTTAGAAATTATTATGAAAAACTTTATGATTCCCAGGACCATACAGATCCAAGCACACGGAAATTATTCCTAGACAAATTAAACATACCAACTATCACAGAAGAACTTGGTCAACGATTAGACTCAGACATTAGTGAAGATGAAATAGTAAAGTAATTGACAACATGAGCACAGGTAAAAAAGCTGGACCTGATGGGTTTCCAATTGACTTTTATAAAAAGTTTAAAGGAAAGTTGGTAAGGCCAATATTGGAAATGTTACAGGAAGCTTTTATAGATGGGGACCTCCCTAACTCAATGGTCAGTGCATTAATTATCTTATTGCCTAAGCCTGGAAAATCTAGGGATAAATGTGAAAATATGAGGCCAATAAGCCTGCTTAATTCAGATCTTAAGATAATCAGCAAATTACTAGCAACTCGTTTGCAGGAAACCCTTCCATTGATTATACACAGGGATCAAAACGGCTTTGTTTCAGGTCGGCAAGGTCTACACAATGTTAGGAGGGTTCTCAATGTTATTTAAGCATTAGATAACACTAAGGATACGGCCCTCCTCTCCCTAGATGCTGAAAAAGCGTTTGATAGGGTAGAATGGGCCTATCTTTTTGATGTGTTAAAACGATTTGGATTGGGACAGAAATTTCTAAAATGGATACAACTATTATATTTACACCCAACTGCAGAGATTTTAACAAATAAAAACGTGTCTAAACCAATTTTAGTTAAACGTGGCTGTCGGCAAGGATGTCCGTTATCTCCGCTGCTCTTCACTTTAGCAATGGAGCCCTTTGCTATAGCTGTACGGTCACATTTACACATAGCCGGAATCACGGTTGGTCAGGTAGAACACAGGCTGTCGCTATATGCAGATGATATAATTTTATTCCTTTCACAATTAAATTCATCTATCCCTGCTTTGTTAAAACTAATTGATGGGTTTGGTCATATTTCAGGATATGTAGTTAACAGATTAAAATCATCAATCTTGTTGCTAGATAAAGGAGAGAGAGAAAATCCGCCTGTAGCCGTTTCACAATTCAAGTCAGTTTCTAAATTTACTTACTTAGGAATACATATCCTTCCAAATTTAGATTTAATTGTTCAGCATAATTATGAACTGATAACTAACGAAATAAGAGATAGTGTCAACAGATGGAGTCTTCTTCCCATGTCTCTTATAGGTCGAATTAATATTTACAAAATGAATATACTTCCAAAACTGTTGTATGTTTTTCAGAATATTCCCTTGCCACCCCCTGCTGACTGGTTTAAAACATTTAAGAAACTGCTTCTTGATTTTATATGGTCAAACAAACGTGCTAGAATAAGACTGTCATTACTCCATTTACCCTGTGATGAAGGAGGCTTGATGTGCCCAAACATAGAATGGTACTACTGGGCAGCTCAGCTCAGATCTATAGGGTGCTATTTTTGCAAAAATGACCCTCCCCAGTGGACCGAAATGGAAAGTAACATCTTGAGCCCTCCATTACCTTTGTACCTTTTTTCTGATACAGAAGTTAATTTAATGAAGAAAACTAAAAACCCAATAGTTAAAAACATGGTTAAGGTGTGGTATAATGTTAAAAGGCACATTAAAGAACCAATTATTTTATCACGGCTAACTCCAATTTGGGGAAATCAGAACTTCTCCCCGGGGAGTGCCGATGCCGTGTTTAAGCAATGGGCTTTAAATGGATTGGAGAAAATTCAAGATCTATATCCAACAGGCTCAGACAACATGATGTCATTTGACATGCTTAGACACAAATACAACATCCAAAGAAAATATTTTTTCAAGTATCTCCAAAGTATCTCCAAAACAAAGCAACCTATTGAAACCACCCAAATTTAAGTTAGAAGAAATGATAAGTGAAAATAGCCTTAAAAGGGGAGCAATCTCACAATTTTATAAACTACTGCTATCACACTCCCCAGATAATTCAACCTTAAAATTGGAAGCTTGGAAGAAAGATCTGCAAATAGATTTGTCACTAGATGAGTGGCAATTGGCTTGCCGTAAAGCGCATAAGCAAACTATAAATTCTCGGTTGAGATTGTTACAGTACAAGTGGCTTATGCGTGTTTATGTCACTCCTGTTAGATTAAACCAATACAATCCAAATATTCCGGACATATGTACAAAGTGTGGAGACGAGAAGGGAACACTGTTTCATTGTATTTGGGAATGTAGAGAAATTAACACATTTTGGGGTAAAATAAAGGAAACGGTGAAGGATATTATTTCTAAAGACCTTCCTTTGGAACCTTCCTTTATAATTTTAGGTTTATATCCCAAGCACACAGCATATTCAAAAAATGAGAAGCTGTTTATTGATATTTGTTTATTACAAGCTAAAATGTTGATTGCACTGCATTGGAAAAGCATAAGAAGACCGAGTATTGGACAGTGGGTTAAACAGATGTTGGCTACTCTTCCATTGGAACGCATTACATACTTGTTAAAAGGAAAAAAGGACTTGTTCGAAAGTATTTGGAGACCGTTCATGCTTTTTGCAGAAGGCACAGACTTAACAGAAGATCATGAAGAGGAACATGGTTATGAATAATTATACATTCAATGACCTGCTCAATAAGAGATGATTGATCTCTGATATCTTGTGTCAAGGGGCATTATCAATATAATGTATGGTAACATGGTATTTTGTGTCTGAGAGGATGTTCTGTTGAATGTCATTTAAAACCTAAAAAGAGAAATAAACATATTGTTGGAAAAAAAAAAAAATCCTAAAGGTAGAGGTACTGCCTGTCATGGCATCGCAGACCTGGTTGGAAAACACAAATCTAAGTCACCAGAACATTTCACACAACTACCACTTTATTTCAACAAAAGTCTCATGTGAACAGTGTGGCTTCCCCTTGTGACAGATTTCAGCTGGACTTTTCAGAAATGCATAAGGATCCTTATGCAAGTAAGTCACTAACACAGTTACAGTCTCTCACCTGGAGGACAGCGGCTGCAGCAGAGCGCCGGCCGCCCCTCTCTCATCTCTCTCACGTACACTCTGGGGCCCGAACAGTTTCGATTGTCGTCTTGTGCAAAAGGCAGAGAGAACAGCTGTGGAAAAAAGACACGCGTTTACAGGAACCTTTCTAGTGAATGCAGCAAGCTCACACCAGGATGTCAGCGGTGGAAAATGAGTGGTGGAAAATGTAAACAATAACTACACATAATAAGCATTTCAAGATTGAAGAAGTTTGATGGTTCTTTCAAACAAACTGGAATGTTTGTGTCTTTAGTATAGCGTATGATATAATACACAATTGTACAATGTTAAATTACATTTAAAGCTCAAAATGGTCAGTGTGACACAAATGGTTACTGAGCGAGAAGAGTTTTAATTTTCCATTTCTGTCAATAGGAGCCAGAGCCAGCAGGAGAAAAACGTAACCACGTCCATGAGCACTTCCCCTTTGGGCTACGGCTTTAATGAGCATTGTCCATCTGGATACAGCCTATGGATAAAAAAATATATATATTTATATTTTTCATGAAAAAATATGCACTATGAAAAGCGCAAAGTAAACTAAAACTTCATAATTTCCTCCAAAAACTTATTTCGATTTTAGAAAGGAAAATATATTGTTCCATCCATCATTTACATAGATAAAGTAATGAACGTGACAGGGCCACTCACAATTGAAACTTTATAGAGCTATATTTATTGAGAGAAAAATACTCTTACTGTGTCTTTGAAGTCCATTATGCAAATCAACAGTGTAATTATTAATAATAATAATAATTTATCAGTTTTATATAGCACTTTTTTGGACACTCAAAGACGCTTTACATGTCATTATTCTTTCACTCCATACACGGTTGATTGATTTATTTTTAAAACCATTCTTTTCTGAGATCACGTTCTGAAATGTTTCTCGTGTGTTTACAACTCATCAGGCAGAAACCAGACAGTGACTCACGCACTCATGTCTGTATGATCTTTATGGAACTGGATTAATCTGGATAAGCAGCTCCGGAACCAGTTCATTGCTACAATCTGGAAACCACTGCAGCCCCAGCCCTTCTCAACACTTCTAGGAGCTTTGTTGTAGTTCTGGGGGAAGTTTTATTGGAGCAAAAAATAGAAAAGTTATTATTATATTGCTGTATTAAATTGGTGTCTGAATATTTAATAATAATAAATAAAAAATAGTAAAGATGAGATAAGATAAACTTTACAGATCTCACAATGGAGAAATGTACCGTCACATTTGGCATCGATAGAATCACTGTGCAAAAGACAGAAGTGTGCAACATGTTATGCCTAGCGTACATCGGACTGGCAAATGAATATATCCGTCGCATATGAGTTGCTGCCCCGCACACATCGACAATCTGGTGAAAACGGGCAACTCCCAGTAGCAGACCAGTCTCGGGAATAACAGCGCGTACATCGACAGCAACTGGCCTCAACTACAGTGTGTTTTCTGACAGAAACTGTGGAGACCGTGCAATACGTCACATGATCACACTCTCAACACATGTAGTCGGAGCGCGCCATGGATCTATTAGGAGCGCGCACATCGGGTGATATCTCCGGATCTAGTTGCCGAAAAGTAGAACACGGGCAACTGACTGAAACTGGAGATCGACTGTTTATCTTTAAGGATAAACAAATAGACAACTATAATAGACGGGAAGTGATTGATCTCAGCTGAGGATGCAAATGTCTGTCATTCAAATTCTTTTAATTCAAATGAAATCAACTAATCAGTGCTTTATTTAGGTACATTTTAGCAAAGCATATAAAGTACGCAGGACTGTGTTCCAACATGAGGCACAGCTGTTGGGCTGTGCAGTAGACAGCCTTAATGCAAGAGGTCGATTTTAACATATGCTAGGTGGAGCTGTCGGCCAACAGTAGCTCAGTTGGCAGAGCATTGGCCTTTGAGCCTGAAGGTCGTGGGTTCGAGCCCACCATGAGACCTTCTCCACCGACTCCCATTGATGGCTGCTGTCGTTGTGTCCTTAACTTACTTACTTAACCCCACTTTGCCTGAACCCCCCACTGAAAGATCAAGGCCATGCCATCCTTCTGTGGACTCACCACCTGCAGGCTGTACACACCTGCTGTGTGTACTGGCCTGGGTTGCATCTCTGGCCACCCCTCCCGACCCAGAAATGGATTAAGGGGTAGAAAAAGGAATGGATGGATAGCTGGAGCTATTGTACTTAAATGAGCATTAGCTCCAACTGGGTTAGCTTTGCATTGTAAGAGGAGCAGGCAGTCGGCTGGACTACATCGATTGTGAAGTGGGTTTCCATCTTCTGTCTGGCTCCACACCACAACCACACCTTGTGGCTTACAGCTGTGAATGTTTAAAGCTCACAAAAGTTGCAACCAATTTTTTTCCAGATCTGGTGTGTGATCACTGCATGATTTGCGCTGCTTGGTGCATCCAGCTGAAATAACTTTGTATCCCCAGATTCCTGTGGGAGGGATGAAAACTAAGTCCATTGTCCATCCATCCATCCATTTTCTTCCTCTTAATCCATTTCTGGGTCGGGGGGTGCCAGTCAGAGCTGCACCCAGTTCACATAGCACCAGCCCCTCACTGATCCTCCTGCAGGTGGTGAGTCCACAGGAGCTGAGTTCTTTCAGCGGGGGCGTCAGGCAAAGTGGGGTTAAGTGTCTTGCCCAAGGACACAATGACCGCGGTCATCAGTGGGAGTCGTGAAGTAGGTCTTATAGTTGGCTCGAACCCACGACCTTCAGGCTCAAAGGCCAATGCTCTACCAACTGAGCCACTGTTGCCCCCCTAAGTCCATTGTATATGGGGAAAAAAGAGCATGCTGTGTCCAGTGTCCATGGGTATACGGTAAAAGGACTACACTAATCCTTTGATTGTTAAAATAATGAATTAACAAATATTAAGAAATTGGTTGATATTGATTCCAATCACCGGTCCACCAAACTCTGCTGTGATCACAGTATTAACTATGGTGTACTCGTGCAAGCCCCACTGTGCAAATTTTTCCTAACTATTGTTTAAAATGTCTTTTTAACTCCTGCATCACTTTGCTCTCACTTCACAGTTCCTGTTACTTTGTTATGGTCCTGAACATGACAAACTGTGCAGAAGTTCAAAGTTGCTTGGTAACCACTTCAGTCTGACTTCACCACTTTTCTGCTGTGAGCGGCTGTGAGTTCAGACAGGCAGCCATTGTTCTGTTTGAGAGATACATTTCACCTGTCGCTCCTCTTTCCCCTGAGCCTCACAAAGTCTCAACTGTGTCAAACTTCAGGCTCTTTGCTCCTGTGTTCACTCCCACACAAACGACTTTTGCAAAACAGAAAACAGAAGCAGGAGACACGCCATTGATCTTGAAATGAAAGTGCGGAGTTATGCCCTCGTGTTGACGGAGAATGTGCTGAGATCTTACAGCTTTTTTTCTATTGCAGGAAGCGAGGTGGTGGGCAGGAGGATGCTGCTGTTTTTAAAGCATAGAAAACCATTTAGACCAATGCAACGAGGTGCAAAGGGCGAAATAGAAGTATAATTATGACAATGAGATGAATTCAGTTAAAGCCAGGGACCTAACTCTTTTCAATCATATAAAATACCCAACAGAAAGGAAGAACCCAAGTCACTAATTAACACACTGCAAAAATGATTAAATGCATTACGTAATCCTTGAATCAAGTGATAATTATGATTATTTGAGCACATTCTGAGCATCTTCATACAATATTTACCAATGGGACAAAGAAATGTAGTCATATTTTAAGGGTTAGGTTAGGTAAGGGAGACATTGCTTGTATCTTGAAAAAATAAATAAAAATAAAGATAACTTTGCTTGTCCCATTGGCAAATCTGGTTTTAAGGCAGTCAAAATGTGCTCAAACTAAGACATGTTTTGCCAAAATTGAGCAATTTCTGACTTGTTTCTCATAACTTTTTGCAATGCACTTTGGGCTGAGAGCTGATTGGCTGAGTGATCGAGGAGCTAGTTACATGGATATTATTATTTGAAAGTTAGGCGCCCCAGCTTTAAGTATCAAACTAATGCAAGGACTTATTAAAACAAAATAAAAATTTAAACCATGAACAACAAGTAACTACAGTATGCATGAATAAACAAATTGTCTGTTTCCTTCAGGCTTCAGTTTTTCAGAAATTTCAGAACAGAAGAAAGGTGGAGCCTTGAAACATTACAAGGGATAGAGAACTGCTAAAATCAATAATACAAATAATTCTAAGATAAATAAAGAATATAATATAGGGAAATGTAGAGCAATGTTGTGTTCTTTGTGTAAAGCCAAGTCGCTGTATAAAGTGGATTCAGCTCATTCTATGCAATTCTGCTCATCTGCTATTTTACTTGCTTACATTTTTAATCTACTGAAATAAAGAAAACACATTCTCAATACAATTCAGATATATAGTATCAATCAGATATATTGTTTTTTGAGTGTACTGAAAAAATGTTTTAGCGTCTCTGGGTCCTAAGTGGCCGGAGGAATGCAAGCTGATGCCAGGAGCCGTTTCACCTGCTGCTACGTGGAACACAAAAAGATAATGAATACGGATCTCCTACCTTCACTGGATGAATTTGGAGCAAAAGCAGCAGTAAAACCAAGTCCTCCATGGCGTGCATGAGGGCAGGTGATCTGAGAGGAGGACAGAGACAGCAGTGTGTGCAGAGGCGGGTCGTTGAAAGAGCCGAAAGCTTTTTAGAGGAAGGAAAGCGTCAGACTGGGCCGGTTCAGTGTGACTAACGCACACACTCACACACACACACACAAAGCTTTAAAGAAGATATATTGCCCAATAGTTTGCCCAATTAACATGATCATGAGACAATTTTACTTTTATTAATTTGTTTTAGAGTGTGAATTAATAGTTTTTGAAATGGTGTGACTAAGACTCAACTGTGAAGGGTAAATAATGCTATGTCCTTGCAACTCCCCATGCTTCCACCAGAGGGAGGAGAGGAATTTGTCAGTTTTCATCCATGTTGCGGTTGGCTGGCCGTAGTGCTGCTTTCAAGAGCCATCGAGGAATGTTTTTGTTTTTGTATAGCACAGTTTATACACAAGGCAACTCAAAGGGCACAGTTCTCGCAGCAGCAGGTGATAATATAAGTGAATATACAATGTTACAAAGTTCATCAGTTTTATGGCGGAAGGAACAACAGATTTGAAAAAAAAAAAATTCCAAGCTGCAGCAATAAAATGACGCCCTGAAGGCATCAAAACAAAGTCAGCGATCAGAGGATGTTTGGGCTGAGCCAGTATACACTTGGCTTTATTCAGCACCTGTTCCACACTCAGTGATTTTAGAGTTGAGTATTGTAATTGTGAAAAGGCAATGACATTTTTTTTACAAAATTCTCAAATTTGGTAAAATGTATGTTAATTTGAGCATATTTTGAATGAAACAAGATTTGCCAATAGGACAGGCAAATGTATCTTGTTTTAAAAAGATACAAGAAACGTATCCCATTAGAAAATTTTGTTTGTCAGAATATACTCAACTTAAGATAAAATAAAAGCAAAACATTTGATTCATGCATTTCAAACCTCATATTTTTGTCATTTTTTGCAGTGTGACGGTAGCCTCAACGGCTCAAACCGGAGAATTATGCTTCATGAGCACTCTGACCAACCATACAGAGTGGGTGAAGTGGGTGCTGGAGGAAACAGTGGTGATAGAAACACATTATGGACTGTATGGCCTTTGTTTATTACTGATACTCAACTGAAATTCCCCTTCTACATGTGTTTGCTGTTCTTCAATTGTGGCACAAAGTCTGTAGTTTAACATTTGCGTTGATGCAAAACCAGTCTCTTCCAATACTATGTTTTTCATCAGTGGCAAAACTGATTTCTGTAAGATTTCAAAATTCTTGAATCCACATATACTGCCACCACCACTATTATTGCTGTTTCAATTAGACTAATGACTTTTTCTTAGAGGCAAATGGCCAGATCCTGTCAGACCTCTGAAGCTATACGGGGCAGTAAAGTGCCAAGCTGTCGTTTTGTCCTTAGAAAAGACACTTCGCCCACATTGTCTAGAATTAGTCTGGTGTGTGTGTGAAGTAAGTAAGTAAGTAAGTAAGCTTTATTTATATACCGCCTTTCACAGACCAGAGTCACAAAGCGGTTTACAATTGTTATTTTTTTGGGCACTTGTCCTCTCACTCCACACAAAGATGGGAGCGGGGTCGCCGAACAGGAGGCAAATGCCAGACCTATTGTACATATTTTTAGTGGTAGGGGAAACCGGAGTACCCGGAGGAAACCTACGCAGACACGGGGAGAACATGCAAACTCCACTCAGAAAGGCCCTGGTCCGGCCGGGATTCGAACCCAGGACCTATCCACTCACCCCTGCCGCCCTGAATGGCTGGTAGGGTTGAGTGGGGCTGATGGCAAATACTGGTTGCCTAGTTTCTGTCAGTGTGCCCCAGGGCAGCTGTGACTACAGTAGTAGTTTATCATTACTAGTTAATAATGAAATGTGAAGCGTCTTTGAGTGTCCTGAAAAGTCATATATAAAACCGATGCATTATAATTTTTATCATTATTATTGTCCATCCATCCATCCATTTTCTTCCCCTTAACCCATAAATATCTGAAAACCACGAATGGGCAAAACGTTCAGTCTCAACATGTGCAAAGCTTGTAGAGTCAGACCCAAAGGGGTTCCACATTGTTGTCCTTAAAGTCTCAAAAAGCACTGTTGGCGGCAGAGCATTTAGCTCCTTTACTGTGGAATTGGCTTCCTGGGTCTTGGACCATGTTCTGCAGCTTAGGGCCTGGATCTATAGCCAGTCCGTCCGTGTGGAGTGGTGCCCTCTCTCAGAGTGGATCTCCCAGAGGTTTTTCACTTATTCCCAATGCAGGAGGGTCTGTTAGACTGTAGTGTCTAACAAGAAGGACTTTGGTGATGATCCAGGACACTCTACATATTGGACGGTCAACTCCCCTTCTGGACCAAAATCTATGTGTTCTGTATTCTTTATGTTTGATTCTCTGATCTGTGTTGACACATTTAAAGTCCTCTGAGTTCACTCCTGTTGTCATTTAGGGCTATACACAAATAACTTGAATTGTACTATATTATTACTTGTGCAAGCCCCACTTTGGTAAATAAAAAAAGATCATATATCAATTTGTGTTCTTTTTGCGTGTTCATGTGGTCTTTCAAAAAGACAAAATAAACAATAACCAACATGTTTGTGGTTGTAAACATGACAAAAGCAAAAGTACTTTTGTAAACCTGTAATCTACTGTCGTGCAGAACAGAGGCTGTGCACACTCTGACTCTGGGTTACTCGGGTGGATGGGACTTCCGTTGCATCTTACTGCAACGCTCAGTCCTGAAGTGAGGAAGTGACAAAGGAAGTCAAAAACAGAAGTAAAAGTCAGTCTGGAGCCAAGCAGCAGTGGGAAAGGGGAAACACGTGATGTGAAGACAACATACTGTACCTTTTTTAATGAACTGTGAGCAGCTCCATATCAAGGCCAAGCTGTTTGTACAACTCTCCATGATCCATCCATTTTCTTCACCTTAATCTATTTCTAGGTCGGGGGGTGGCATAACTATGCGAGTTGGAAACAAAGTGTCCTACCAAAATTACGCTGACGACACTCAGATCTATGTCTCACTGACTGCAGGAGAACATGGACCACTGGATTTGCTCCTTCACTGTATCCAAAAGATCAGTGACTGGATGCAAAATAATTTCCTCCAGCTAAATGCAGACAAAACCAAAATCATTGTCTTTGGTCCCCAGAAACAAAGAGAGGGCGTCATTTGTCAACTTCAGTCTCTCTCCCTACTGCCTTCAGACAAGGTGAGAAATTTAGGGGTAATACTGGACTCAGACCTAAATTCCAATAGCCACATAAAATCAATAACATCAGCAGCTTTCTACCACCTAAAAAATATTGCCAGGATCAAAAACATAGTGTCTAAAGCAGACTTGGAGATTCTTATCCATGCATTTGTCTCCAGTAGGTTAGACTACTGCGATGGCCTACTCACAGGTCTGTCCAAACAGGCTGTAAAACAGCTGCAGTACATTCAAAATGCAGCAGCTCGAGTCCTGACTAGAACCAGGAAGTACGACCACATTAGTCCAGTTCTCAGGTCTCTGCACTGGCTTCCTGTGGCTCAGAGAATAGACTTTAAAACAGCTCTGCTTGTGTACAAATCTCTCCATGGCCTTGCACCAAAATATATTAGTGACATGTTAGTCCCATATGAACCAGCCCGGACTCTGAGGAGCACAGGGACTGGACTCCTGTTAGTGCCCAGAGTCAGAACTACAGTAAACATGGGGAGGCTGCTTTTCATATTCATGCTGCTAAAATCTGGAACAGTCTTCCTGAAGATGTGAGACAGGCCTCCTCTCTGACAATGTTTAAGACAAGGTTGAAAACAGTTCTGTTTAGCAGCATACAACTGAGGGATTGTATATTTTATATTTTTATCTTTCTTTTTAATGTACTGGGATTATTTATGATTTTAATGCTCTTATTTTGTTCAGCATTTTGAGTTGCCTTGTGTATGAATTGTGCTATACAAATAAAATTGCCTTGCCTTGCCTTTCAGCGCCTGTCACGAACCACTGTCTCTGAGAGAGAAGCTATCGAAGCTAGCCACGCTCAATAACACAAATATCAATCAATCAACACATTTTATTATTAATCAGAGAATACATTATACAAATACATTCTTAACACACATGCACGGAGGTTTTCAGAATTTCTTCTTCATGACAAAAATACTGTTTTAATGAGACACAATGCGATCGCGGTAAACCTGGAAGTAACCATTAACATTAATTGAACATTATAGGACACATTTGCAGGGGATCTGATTATGGATTTAGGTTAAGGTTATATTTGGGTCACTCACCGCTGATGTTCAGAATTCTTTGTTCAGTTTTCATGTGGTTCCAGAGCCTAATGGAGGCTTTATTCGGAGGCTTTGTGAAAACAAACAACTGAGCATGTGTGCTCGTGATGATTGACGGCCCTTGGCATCACTAGATTTTGAGTTATAGCTAAGAGAAAGGAAGGCGGGACTTACCCATAATATTATAATTCATAAAATGACTTATTTTATATCAACAGGGGGTCAATTTAATACAATTCCTAAAAATTGTAATTCATTTAGAGTTCCAGACTATCACTTTAAAGTAGAAGTACCTGACTATTCTTTTCATAAATAATCCATGTTTGCCCAAACAGAAAGAGTCTTGTTAAACTAAAACCACACCACACCACAACACATTGTATTTGTTCTATGTAACCAGGGGTGCACATAAGTGATACGCAGGTACTAATGTGCGACAAAAATCAGAAATGCGTACTATCACTTGAGGGCACTTGCTGCTGTTTTCTGTACGTACTCGAACGGGATTCCAAATCCTCTGTGGCAGCAGCGTTCTGACTCCAGAGCTACTCCGGCCGCATAATGACAACAATGCGGCGAGCATAATGTACCCAGCGCGGACCATTCTCTGCTTGTTGCACATGTGTGTCTTTGCGTAACGCAAAATAATCAAATACATATTGCGTTACTGCAAGAAACAGAGCTGGACTATGGAATCTTAAAGGAGTGTCCATGTCCTCCCTGTTTCTCTAAATTAAATTATCTACATTTTCCCGTGTATTAATAATAATAAGGTTAGTTGCGCCCAAAAGTAAAATTTTGTGAACAAATCAAACAGAACATTATATATATTTTTTGCACTTTTAACTCATTCACTGCCAGCCATATACAGTACAAAGCAGCACCTTTTAGTTTTTAGTTTTTTTTGTGTTACAGTTTCTCATTATGACACAAAACAGAAACACTTAGAATTGTATTTTTAATGTATAATTATTTTAAACGTGTACACACAATACACACAAAGGATTGTCTTATGTACATATAAAATATTCAGCTTGTATACAATAAAAAACACTCCAAAGTGTTTACAGGTCTGAAATGTTGACACAGGATAAAAGTAATTGACGTCGATAGATGTCCATTGCAGTGAATGAGAGAGACTTGGATTGAGTGGATTATCTGAGCTGATCCAAACTTTGTGCTATAAAGAAAAATGCGCTATAAAAATAAGCATTACTTACTTACTTTAGTATTAAAATGAAGCAAGCATAATATTGATTTAGAACCACGCAACAAATGGAGTGAGTACCAAACACCATCTCCTCGTACTTATCAGAGTATCTCACTCAAAAACGTATGTGCACCCCTGTATATAACACATGTTTATCTCTGTGAGCCACAATTTAACGGTATGGACTGAGAGCTGATTGGCTGAGTGAGGGCGGTCCCCTCTTTTTCATGTTTCTGTCTGAAAAAGCCAATCTAAAGATGTAATAACACTTTGATTCTGTTTAGATAGGTACATTAGCTTTAAATTAGTAACATTTAAAGCTGGGGTTCCTATTTTTTGAGTAATTCTTTGTACTTTGATGACTGCCGTTGTGATTTTGAACTATGCAGACATTTTTCTAATTGAATTCATATTTATAGTAGGGGCAGGAACTGATTGATATATATATATATATATATACATATACATATATATATGTATATACATATACATATATATATGTATATATATATATACATATACATATATATATGTATATATATATACATACATACATATATATATATATATATATATATATATATATGTATATATATATACATATATATATATATATATATAGTCCTGTGGGACTTCCAGATACAGACCGACCGAATGGTAATGGCAAACCAACCTGACATCGTGGTGGTAGACAAAGGGCAGAGGACAGCCGTGGTGGTGGACGTGGCAATTCCAAGCGATGGTAACATCCGGAAAAAAGAACATGAAAAGCTTGAGAAATACCAAGGTCTCAGAGAGGAGCTGGAGAGGGCCTGGAGGGTAAAGGTGACAGTAGTGCCCGTGGTGATCGGTGCACTCGGGGCAGTGACCCCGAAGCTAGATGAGTGGTTACAGCGGATCCCCGGAACAACCTCGGACATCTCGGTCCAGAAATGTGCAGTGCTAGGAACAGCAAAGATACTGCGCAGAACCCTCAAGCTCCCTGGCCTCTGGTAGAGGACCCGAGCTTAGAGAGGGATAACCGCCCGCGGAGGGCCAAAGGTGAGTGGACAATTTTTTTATATATATATATATATATATATATATATACATATATATATGTACCTGGACCACAGACTGGACTGATCAGCTCAGCCATCTACAGGAAAGGTCAGAGCAGACTTTTCTTTCTGATTAGACTGAGGTACTTCGATGTGAGCAGTTGAAATGTGCAAATTTTTTACCAGTCTGTGGTAGTTAGTGCCGTGTTCTTCGAGGTTGCGTGTTAGGGCGGCAGTCTGACCTCGAGAGACAGTAACCAGGTCAACAGGCTGATCAGGAAATGTGTCTCTGTGATGGGGAGAAGTGTGGACTTTGTGGGAGCTGTGCTGGAGAGAAGGATGAGGGTTCTAATGTAGGGCATCCTGGGTAACTCCAGACACCCTCTGCATGACACTATGGCCGCTCAGAGGAGTAATCGAAGCAACAGGCTCCTATCACTACGCTGCCGAACGGAACGTTTCCAGAGATCCTTTGTTCCTTCGGCTGTCAGACTGTACAACAAACCTGGACGAGTCTTCTGTTGCTGGACACCTGAATTTATCCTACGGGGGATCAATAAAGCATCTATCTATCTATCTAGTGACTCACTCATATGTCACAAGTGACTCGGATCCAAATTCAGTTTCAATCCCCAAAAGGAGTTAACCCCTACGACCTATTAACGGAGCTCAATGGAGCAAAGCTAGACCTTAGTATGAAATGTTATTTGTACAATGGTGTACGTCCAGGCTATATTGGCCGTGGTCTGATTGACGAAAAGGCAAACAGATGCTTCGCTCGTACTGCATCGCTCAAAAGCAAGGGTTCTTTTTTAAGATAGTAGCAGTAGCCAAAAGAAACAGAAGTCTGTATTCTTCTGCGGCTCCTTGGCCGCAGCCTGGAGAGAGTGACAGGCTTATTAATCAATGTGTCAATTTATTTTAATACATTGAAATTAAACAATTCACGTTTATCATCAACATGCTAATTTTCCCAGGCCTAATTTATACACTTTTGACACTTTAGACTTTGGGAACTTCTGAAACATAGACCCTGAGTCACATATATTTATAGTTTGACCTCAAGATTTCACAATTTTCCAGTATTGTGCAAACTCATGAACACACTGTTTTAGGCGGCTGGTTCCTCAATCTCTCTAAAGCCGCGTTCAGACCGGATAATGCGTTGCGTCTGCTTTCAATGCAAAGTCAATGGTGACGCGCGTTCGAGCGTCAAAACGCATTAACTTCTCGGCACGCACGCACGGACAGTAGAGACGCACGGACTTGGCGGGAAAGTCAAAGGGGAGGAGCAGGAGCGGAAAATGGACGCCCACAGGAGATAAACTTTGCTCAACCTTTCCTCGGGACGTTCGTGCAGCGACCAATCAGAGAGCCGCAAAGTGGTCACGGGGACATTTGCGGACTGAGCGAGCAGACTGAACATACTGTTAACAGCCAAAACAGGAGCTACATCAGGACTAAACCAGGGTTGACAATGTGGGACTGTGTGCTTCTGAATTAATGCGTTGTCATGCTCCTGTGACCTTATGCAACTGCTTCGAGTGTGTTCACCGATGCGGAAGTACCGTTTAATAATAAAATAAACTTATTGCGCACCTCCGTGAACACATACTACTGTTATATAAAGTCCGTGGAAGGTCTCTGAACACAGACACGCTGCCAAGCTGCATTATTGTAGAAGATCTTTACACGAGAAGCCGCTAGCATAACTCTGTTAGCATCAGAGCCGGCCGGCTACTTCCGGCACTTCCGGCGCTGATCAGGACGTTCTGGTGTGAAGACCTGTGCGTCTGAAAACTAGGAAATGCGCGTCTGGTGAGCGAGGCTTCAGCGTTTGAGCGTTTGCGGTCTGAACGCGGCATAAGGGTTTTATCTCACATATTATTCTTTGATTCATCAGTGTGTGCAAAATCCAGAAACAATATTGAAAGTCCAGCAAAGATATTTTACTGATCTTTTCACACAGACATTAAATTGACATTATTTCCTAAATGTGGGACACAAATCTTTTCATCTTTGGTCAAAAACATTATTTTCTCTTATTTTCTCAGTGGAAAGTGCTGGAAGTTGTGACGACTTAGAAGAGACACTTGTGGAATCTGTTTAGGCTTCTGTTGTTTGGAGTTCTTAAATGCAAACAGGCTCTGAAACAGAAGAAAAGAACATTCATTATTTTCATGTGTGAATGAGAATGGTTTAATGGTTTAAAGGCAGAAAATTACTCGGGCCAATGACATTATGGTCGAAAAGATTAATCACAGCAAGTTTGAAAAATTAGCTTTTAGACAGAAGGAGTGGGGGAAAGCTTGTGCCAAAAGACATAAGTCATCCTTTAAACTACTAGACTCCCAGAGCAGTCAGAGCAAGTAAGTCATCTTTATTGATATAGCCTTTCACAGACCAGAGTCACAAAGTACTTTACAATTGTTGTGGGCGATTGTCTTTCCCTCCACAGAGATGGGAGCGAGGTCGCCAGTACAGGAGGCGCATGCCAGCCCTATCGTACATGTTTAGTGGTAGGGGAAACTGGAGCACAAACCTCCCCTACGCAGACACGGGGAGAACATGCAAACTCCACTCAGAAAGACCCTGTTCCGACCGGGATTCGAATCCAGGACCTTCTAGCTGAGAAGCGAGAGTGCTCTCCACTCAGCCACTCCCATTCAGGCCAGAATATACCCCGGGGTATATTCTGGCCTAGGCTATTTTAACCCCCTTTAGGCCAGATTAAGATTATTTAAAAAAAAAATTGTGAGTGGTTGAAGGAATCCTTCTGAAATCCAACCGCTATGAAGGAGTCCCAGACCCATTTGAGAAGCGCAGCAATCAACAAGGGTCTGGCGAGAGTCAGGCTCACAATATGGATCGCACATTTGAATGTGGATGGCGTGACCATAGAATGATAGAACCGGGAAGCGCGGCGGACGAGACTTTCTTTTGGATGGCTGTCTCGCTGTGTAAGCAGTAACCGGTAACGGAGACACAGGAAGTTTCAGGTTAGCCTCCGCTGCTTGTTTACCTCAGCTGTCTGTGCTAAAAAGAGACCTGTGGCTTTTCTCAAGAAAGTGGGGGCCAGTGGTCCAATGTGATTGGTCACAATCTGGTCAAATTATCTTCCTTGTTGCACGAAAACTTGATCTAAAATAAAATGACACGCCAGCACAAATCTGCGCAACTTATTCTTCAAAAGGACGTATATCCCAATGCAGTGCATGGATATGGATTGAATTTTCGTAATGAATACAAAAATAAAGTCAGTTAGTGCAGCTTTAAGACTCACTTGTTCTCATTGGCTTTTAATTGATTTTCAATAGATTTGTTTGTGTCTTTTGTGCATTTCTTTTTATGTACAGCACTTTGGTCAACCTTGTTGTTTTTATTAATGCTTTATAAATAAACTGGACTGAACTTAAATTTCAGCTTATGAATGAAGTTAAGTATCTATCTATCTAGAAAAAGATATCTAGAAAAAGTCACAAAGTTAGAAAGACCAAAAATGTACATGATCTGGGTATCGTTGTCATGGTTACACTTTACCGTTTTTCAGAAGTTGAACCAGTCAAATGTAAAGTCCTCACCTTTAGTTCCTGGTTTTCAGCTTCCTTCTTTGTGTCCACGCTGCTCCTCAGATCGAGGTTACTCTGAGCAGCTGCAGAACTTTGAACTGTGTTTGACCAACCAGACAGACAATGCTGCGCGGAAACAACAGACTGTAGATTATTATGAGAAAGAACGAAACAAGAGAGCTGGCACAAGTGCAATACAGTAAAATAAATATGGAATAATCAACCATGAAAGTGATTCATTCCATCTACAGCTCAAACTATATTGTATGTATTAAAAATAAGATGACAGAAATCCTATCTCTCACAGTTTGATTTCTTTCAAGCCTGCAAAACACAATTTCACATATCTTTACACAACTAAAGGTTTGAAAAGGTGTTGATGAAGCAGATGCGTATTTTTTTCAACACAATCAACAAACATCTCTGCCTTTGAAAATAATGTGCCTTCACTTTTGGCATTTTGAAACTGCCCACAGCAGTTTCAAAATGGCTGCAGGGCAGGAACATTTTGAAAAAACGCATTTGCACAAGCGTTAGCCGGCACGAGGCCCATTCATTTGACGAGTAGTCCAAAAAAATAATATATAACTCCTCATCATTGACGCACATCTGGAATGTAGTGTTGGGTCAGCAGCGACTTTTGGACCATCCTGTAAAGACGTTTTGGAGAGGTAAGAAGACGTCGTTCAAAAGCATTGGATAATTCTCTTTCTGGTTCCACCCCTACCGGCCCGGAGTGGTATTGCAAATATGTCCCCACTGGTTCACACACACACAGACACTCTCTCACATGCACGCACGCACACACACACACACACACAATACACAAAAATGACCCGGCCATGAGGTGGGTTACCAAGTCGTTTTGACACACCAGCCTGTGTCGCTCGGTGTGTAAAGACAATTTTTTTTTGTAGAATTTTCAGTACTTTTCCGCAGTGGGAATGAGGCTTCCAGTGTTTACTCACCGAGGGCAGAGCCAGGCTGTCTGATGGGTCGAAGCTGCTCCTTCGATGAGCCTTGTAGGTGTGCGGCGGCAGCAGCGCGGAGCGAGGGATACTCACCCTGTAAAACCAACAGTCATCTGTCTGCAAACTCATGTAACGTGACAATGATAATGTTCTAAATCATTTCACATTTGGTAATGGGTAGCATCTACAGTAGCCATTGTATATAACCAGCACCAGCAACATTTTGAAATAAAAGTGCATTCTGTCCACATATAAGCTGCACCTGACCATAAGTCATAGGTTTTTCATGTTTAAATGTAGCAGAGAAACGACTGTTTTAACTGGACACAACATGATTTAATGACGAGGTGTTTAGCAGCTTAACAGATAGCTCCTTCACTAGTCTATTTTGACAATAAGCAAGTGTTCTATAGCTACTAAAACTTGATGGAGTCCAAATATGTCCATACACTCTCTCTCTGTTACTCTGACAACTCACAATAAAAATACGCACAATGGCCGAATTGCTATGAAGCCGTAGGGTTCAAAGACCTAAAAAAAAAAAGAGGCTTATTAGGCTAAAAGATAGAGATTTGTTTTTAGTATAGAGTTGTAATTTACTTAAGATTAATTGTGTTGTGTGCTCTGTGTAACACTGATGTTTCCCCACTGTGAGATGAATGAAGGATCTATTCATTTTAATATCAATCTGAATATCTCAATGAGGAACTCTTTTCAACAGTGACAACCAAATAGACAAAATCCAATATGACAAATTGGATTATACAACTTATCCAGCTGCCAGTAAGCTAAGATGTACCTCAATTTGAAATCCATTCGTTGCAATGAATCCAATCTCATGCAACAAGTAATGAAAAATGTTGTACCACTATCAGGGAGTGGGGCTGTATTACGTCGCAAATTTTTTAGCAATGCACACAGAGTCGGCTAAACCCTTCTGGGTCAAACTGATCCGTCACAGAGGCTAAATAATAAATACATTTTGAGCTGTATTTTGATAATCACTGTGGTGGGTCATTTTGACCCAAGGATAGCACAAGGTTTAATGTTTAAACGTACATTTATTTTTACATCTAATAAGCTAAGACATCTCCAAAATTGTTCTAAAGCCGAACAAATTCCGAAATGTATACAAGTAAAGTGGATTTTTGATTCTATTCACACATTCCCATTGTTTGGCTCCATCAAAATGAACTTTTTACACAAGACTCTGGGGGCTAACCTGATTTAGGATTTGAGTCGAAAAGGGGGTAGGATTTTGTAAAGTTTACAATAACAAAGCTTAAATGGGCTCAAACCAGTCTAATTTTTACAATGCCAACATTTCCTTGGCATCCGTCTAATAATTGCGTTATTTACATTTTTTTACACACTTGAAGAGACTACTTTTTGGAACACAGCATTCATTCTTGTCCATTTCTACACATCAACTCTTTTTTTGTTATAGAAACTGCGACCTGACGTCTAAAATATTGTTCCAGAATTGGAGGTAATTTTGGGAGCCTTTTATGAATGCTTTTGTAAGTGTTTTAAGTTGGTGATTGTTATTCAGCCTTACCTTATGAGAGCCGGTTCTTTCTCTGAGTGTGGATGTTCGGACTTGTTGTTTTTGCAGACGGGACATCGCTCCTCAGAGTTCAGTGGGACTGGGAAAAGTCTGTTGTTTATTCTGTATGAAAACGTGCCTGTGATCACCGAGATAGACACTAGATTAGTTCTGACACTCCTTGGATAATCCTCACATGTTCCAGTTCTTACATTGGTGGGTGTCTTTTATTGTCTCAGGGCTCTGGTCGGACGGCAACGCTGTGTTTTCATCAGATTCCTCAGAAAACCTGTAGGGAGGCAGCAGTTATTTAAAGGAGACAGAATATGTGAAACCGACAGTTGTTTTACCTTGTCATTTACAAACTGTTTTTAGAGATTCAAGCACAGTTGACTCATTTAACAAGATTTCTTGCATAGAGCCACATGTAGACACTTTTAGACCCTAGCTAGTTATTAACCCAAACGTTAGTGTGAGGGTTTTTTAACAAGAGCAGTTGTAAAAACAGCCGACCAACACCACATTCCCCACAAACTATATGTGTGTTTTCATCAAATCCTTTCACGAAATATCACTCGGCACAGTGGAGAGCAAGAAGATTCTTGGTTCAATTCCACCTCGAGACAGGGTCTTTCTGTGTGGAGTTTGCATGTTCTCCCCATATCTGTGTAAGTTTCTGTCAGGTATTCACCAGTTTTCCCTACCACTAAAAACATGTACAATAAGTGAGGGTTGAATGAGAGTTTGTGAATGGGACTGTGGGACTACAGATAGAAATTAGCTACATAAATACAATATAGTGTATTTACAGATTCAGCTGTTCATTAATACATACTGCCCCAGCCCAAAAAGTAAAATAAAATCCCTCTGCCCAAGTTTAAAAACCTTAAAATCTCACCCAGAGTGAAGGCTGGTCACACACTGCTCTCTGTTCAGAGCTCTGAATCTGCACAAGTCGTTGAAGAAATCATCGGAGCGTTCCATCAAAGAGTCTTCAGCGTCTATGACTCCTGAAAACAAAGGTGTCATGTGTCTGTTGTTCACAAACAAAAAACATTCCAAGGCTCAATAATTTAGTACCTGCAATCCAATCATATCCCAAAAGTGGTCTGGAACGCAGGCTGTCCACGCACTCATCTGCTCCTCCATTCTTTAGAATATGTTGTTGCCTTTTCTGCAGAAATACAAAATTATAAGTAGCATGTCTTTAACACTGTAATAACAGTGCTAATGAGACGTACCATGGGAGGTTTGAGACTGGTCAGGTCCTCTGCTCTGAGCTCAGATGTTGTGGATGACGTCTGGGATTCTGTGATTTCAATGGCATCTGAAAAGGTAAAAAGACCTGTATTTTATTTTTGTTGTTGTAGAATATAGTGCGACGGTAGCTTAGTTGGTAGAGCATTGGCCTTAGAGCCCGAAGGTCGTGGGTTTGAGCCCACCACAAGACCTTCGCCACCAACTCCCACTGATGTCTGCTGTTGTTGTGTCCTTTGGCAAGACACTCAACCCACTTTGCCTATAAGGAGCGCGGAAGTGATGTTCTCTGCTTGCCTTAATGTGTATGTGTATATGTATGGATCAAACTGAAATTTCCCCATTATGGGACAAATAAAGGACCTTCTTCTTCTTCTAGTAACACCGCTCCATCTAGCAGAGGCAGTCAAGGCATGGAAATTGAGTTTATACTTATTTCCAAATACAAAACTATTCTGTTGATCTAAACTATTTCTCAAAACCGGTTTCTGTCACTACTTTTACATACATATATATTTTGTCCTCTGCCACAGCTTTAGAGCTGCCTTTTTTTGTGGAGAGAGGAGCGACAACCTCCCCATCCTCACTCCACCCCAATCAGCTCTCAGCCCAAAGCGTCAAATAGTGAGTCACACTCTTTCTTACAAGTGTGCAAAGAAAACATGTTTACTAAATAGATAAAGTCCACATTTTGTGGTCTAATTATTTCACAAACTCTTTATTTAAAAAGACTGTCGGGACAACTAATATGTTATTATTGATTGGGACAAAAAGTTAGGTATCCCAGCTTTAAGTCACAAGTGAAATAGAATCATAAGGCACTTACATTCTGGGGTAAGTTGTGAACTGTTATTATTATAGATCCATGGTTGTGAACCACCACTTTGTTTGAGGATGATATCTAATTTACAGTTGATCTGTGCAATTCAGCTAAGAAAATAGAATACATTTATCTAGCGTTAATTCATTCAACTTTTACCTGAAAACGTAATTATGGACGATTTCGCTAGCGCTGCCCGGGCTGGACCTCTGCCTCCATTCGTGATGGTCACCAACTCTTCTTGGGCTTCACAGCTCTCATCTTCCCCGTCTTCTCGGTCTCTTTTTCGGCTCTGTGCAGCGCCACACACCGCTGTTTCCAGCTTCTGCCTCTGCTGCTGAAGTTGAGCCAGGAGCACCTTGTTCTGCGCTCGCAAAGCATCCAGTCGTTCAGAGGAGGACATGTTTTAGATATGATTTAATTATTTTAGTATTTTCAATAAAATAATACTGTTTGATGCCGGTTCTAAGGTTCAAATCAGCATCGACCCATAACAACGCGTTGAAAACAAACGCGACGATTGGCTCTTACAGCTTCACCAGTATATTTATTTTCCCTCCCACAGGCCGTGAATCATACGACGAAGAACATTAAACCCTTGAAGACGTAAACTCAGATTTATCTCAAATTTAAAGTATTAAGATTATTAAATAATGTATTGTTCAGATACACAATCTTAGAATTGCCATCTATGCAAATTAATAGATAGTAGGTAACCCTGCGTTGGGAAAATAATGATGTATCCATCCAATGTGCTGTGTTGCATTCCTTAAAGAGACAGGCACCCTATTTTAGATATGTAATACACACTAACATCCAGCAGATGGCCATATTTACCTTCAACCAGTGTCAGATCTATCTATAATTTCTCCAATTAAAAAAAAGGAAACTTAAATACCCTCCCTAAATCAATGTTTGATTTGTAATCTTTGTAATCTGTTATCTACAATTGACAGTGGTGAAAGAGGTACTCAATGCTGTTACGTATGGGTCAAAGTACATTAACAGGATGAAAGAAATACGTATTTAAGTTTTAAAAATGAAACATTACTCAGTGAACAGGAAATCACAAATCATTATGATGCAATATTGTTATTGCACCACTATTCAACAACTTGTTGTTTTTGCATGGATGGATTCAAAGATTCATTATCAATTCACATATTAAGCTATTTTGGACCTTTATACATACTGTACCGATGGGCCGTACCAAGGAAGCATCAAAAACAGATGCCCAAGCCATCTCAGCATGGAGGAGCAGCGGCTCTACTCCAAGCTCTTCATTCTCATCTCTAAGGGACTCCATAGGAAAATCATTTTAACTAATTGTATCATTACCCAAAGTTCATGGACTATGGCTATTCATGTTCATTAATTCCACACTGGTTTGACCCTCTATGAACTTCTTTCTATAGCCGGAGTTGGTATACAGTACATTTCTGATTAAATATTTTTCATGTTCTTTTAGAGAAGCTCTTGGGGCAAATACAAATAGTGAAGTACTTTCAGGGCACCGTATTAGGTTAGACACTGTGTATAAGGAGACTTTAAGAGGAGCAGGAGCTCACAGGCATAAATCACAGAAGACATAGCACTGATATAGAACATCTCTGCACTAGTTTAGATGAGTTATCTTTCAGAGCAATAACATAAATATGGACTTTTATGTTTCCTTATATTGAGTACACATTCTGTTCGTCTACTCCATTGCATAATTTGATTCCACGAAGGTACACAGTGTGACTTGTGTCTCTGGTGTATCAGTGCAGCTGGGAAATATCCAGCATAAAACCAAATAATGATTGATTAACTGTCAAACATGATTGGTTCACGGAATATTATTTCACGAATGTAACTGTGACTATTTCAAAGAGCTGACTTTTGGGAGGTATACATATATGATATAAGCGTCACTTGACATCAATGACATTTGTTTACCACAAACAAATCAATATTTTGAAGAATATGATCAGTTTCAGTTTCAGTTTTTTTTTTTTTCGGTCACTTGTGCATTTTACACATCGTCAGGATAGTAAATTACAGCAGAAGCTGTGTGGCAGAGGACAAACTTCTAGACAAAAACATAATGGGAAGAGTTAATATGCATTTGTTGCAAAAACATATTTAAAGAAGAAATATTAAATCATTATTAATGATATGATACTTTTTATTTTGTCATTTCACGTTTTAGAAGGTGAACAAATATCTTCAGTAGAAAACATAAGGTGAAATAAGTAGGAAGGGTAAAAAGGCTTTCCACCTGTCACTCCCTAAGCTACCACCAGAGGGAGTTGAATTTGTGATGTTATTTTCAAATTAGAAAATTACTGGCTGCCATGAGATTTTAAATAACACAATTTCACTTGAAAAATTACCGAAAATCTTCAGACACAATACTTTTGTTTTAAAAAGGTGTGTGATGGAGTGTGATGTCATAGTGGTACAATGACATCATACTATTACAGGATTGAGATAGGAGTGTTTAGACAAAAAGGGGTGGAGTTACATTTGTGTGCCATAAGTTATTAGCATGGGATTGATTTTAAAACAACTCCAGGTCTGTTTTTGACAAGGAAAAACATTTGCGTAACACATCTCCTGTTTACACAAGGACGCAGCGACAGTAAAACGGTAGAGTTACATGTAGGTATCGAATTGGCTTTTTGTTTACACAAAGACAGTGGTTCAAGGGGGAAAACGCAAGCGTTGAGAAACAGCCTCCAGAGAGGAACAGAACAGAACCGCTGCTCAGCTGGGGCTGTTTCACAGTTATGTGGAAAAAAAGGTGTGAATTCTCTGCCTGCTGTGACTTCAGCAATTCCCTTCACGTACGTTTGGACATGCGCAGTAGTCAAGAACAAACGTAAACAACAATGGCGGCGGGTCAACTAATGCTACTTGTGCTTCGAACGTTACACGGAGGAGAATTCTACTCTTTCAATCGTCCAAACGAAACCGTGCTAGTCTGTAGTTTCAGTTTCGATTTAGCAAATTTTTTTGCTGCTACTGTTAAATGCAGATTGATGTTGGTGCATCCTTCAGGCTTTGCGGTGGCCCGAGGAGGATGTGGTCGGCACTAGATCATATATACGGAATCGGGACGAAACCGGACTTAACAATCCTTTTTTCAAATTAGTTTTAGACTAAAAAGTCCTTAAGTGGTGACTGGTTAAGTTTCAGGTGTCTGAGTAAGATGGTTAAGGTTAGGGTTAAGGGTGGGTTGGAGTTATTTTATGGGAATGGCTGGTTAAGTTTAGGCATAAGGTAGTTTGTTATATTTACTTCCGCTTCCGTCCCGATTACGTACAGTATATGATCTAGTGCTGACCAGGAGGATGTTGTTGAGGAAGTGATCATTCCGCCGGGTGTTGCGTGTGTCGTGTTGTAAAGTTCAACTGCCACCTACGGGCTGGGAACTAGAACTACAACGTTTCCGTCTTCATGGATACGCTCAGCACTTTTTTTTTTTGCAAATTGCTTTGCAGCGTCTCCGTCTAAACAGGGCCTAAGTCAGGCATGTCAAATTCAGGCCCTGGAGCCAATTCTGGCCCACGAGACAAATTTTAGTGGCCTCTGAAATGATTTTCATTGTATGGAAATGGGCTACTACGGCATGTTATACTTAATTTTAATACGTTTACCACCGGGAAAACATCCATGTCTGTTCTAAAATGTAATGTTATTAGAAGTTAAGTTTGTAGATGTGTTTGCAGAACTATCAGTCTGCAAATTCATATATACATCTCTTTGTGGTTGAATCCAAACCTATCAGAAAATAATACACAAACTCATGTCAAATAAGACTTTTGGCCTAAACTAGCTCCTATGCTTTTTAATCTTTTTAATCAAAATGAGATTGACACCCCTGGATTAAGTAATTACCCAGGAATAAGAACGCACAAATAACATTGGACTTAACCTTCTAATTCCGAGCTGAAACATTGACTTGCCTGTTCTGCTGTGCCACTAAACCGTGTGTAAACATGTTGACAATTTCCCTTTTTCTTTTCTAATGACACCATCTCAACATAATAACAGTTACGACACGATGTTGGAGGAACCTCTCTCTCAGCTCGCGGTAATGACAGTGCTGCAGGTGGCGCAGGGTCACAGCGTAATGATATAGTGGATCCCCTGCTGAGGTGAGCGCGCTGTTCAGTATTCAAGTCATGGTCCGATCCCACCCAGAGCCACCTGGGTCGCTCCTCCGTGATGAGCTGACCACCGCGTGGACCATTATCATTTAACTGCTCCACTTGTCAAGTCACATAGTCCGCCCTGTACCCCTAATTATACCCCCACTGTTGCGCTCCGAGCAATTACTGCCCGCCAACAAAATGCTTCATCGATCATTAGGCTTACATAATGGACAACAAAAACAACAAACGGGATGGCTTGGTTGGCTCACAGTTTCTGCAGGCACAATGTAATAATGATATAACAATAAGAAGATACAGGTCGAGAATTAAACAGATAATGTGGGTTATCATGTGCAGAAACTGTCCATTGTCCGAGCTAGGATATTTCGAACCAAAACCATAAGGAAACACAGGTAAGGCGCTTTGATAAGAGGCATATTTTCATGACATCACATTTATTTTCAGTTCAGTTATCTTTTGCATCACAAGTGGGACATGCTCGTGTTGGATCAGTTAGCCGAAGAGTAGAGAGTCACTACTCCATATTTTAAATGTCCAGGTAGACAAGGCAGCCGCGCTCCACCAGAACTCTCAACCCACCTTCCCCAGCTACATCCAGACTCGCGAACCGGGGCAACGACACTCTGTGAGGGGCCATGACGGCTGGTCCACACCATTCCCAGGAGGCAACCAGACCGGGGACACAAGCAGGCCTGGAGCTTCATCGCGGGCACACCCACACCATGGACTACATAAACAAACGCTTTAGAACTTCTACTGTATTTAGGGTGAGAGTAGCTCAGTTGGTAGAGCATTGGCCTTTGAGCCAGAGGGTCGTGGGTTCTAGACCAACCTTCACCATCGACTCCCACTGTCTGCTGTCGTTGTGTCCTTGGCAAGACACTTAACCTCTGGGAACACCAGCCACAGTGGGTGGTGGTCGTAGGGGGCGATGGCGCATACTGGTTGCCTCGCTTCTGTCAGTGTGGCCCAGGGCAGCTGTGGCTACATAAGTAGTTTATCCTCACCATGTATGTAGAGAAAGAATAATGACATGAAAAGCGCTATATAAACCCGATGCATTATTATAAAGACATTATTATTTTCGCACAATATTTACCTGGGAGCCAAAGCATGACAGGGACGGGGGCAACAACACCAGCAGAACCAGGAAGTAGACAAGAGGCAGACATGACAATAGGTAGAAGCTTTTATACATGGCAAACCGCCCCTTAGTGACCAAACACCGGCACTAATAAAAGCC